CCAAATTATCAAGACAAGAGCGAAAAAGTATTCTGTGGAAGCATCTGCTAAGATGTGTGAGGCCTACAAGGCATATTTCAGCACGCCTGTCAGGGATCAAGACAAACCCTGGGGGCCTCATTTCACCTGCGAGCAATGCAAAAAACTCTGGAAGGTCAGATGGACAATCGTTGCTCGGAATTTTATGTTATAAAATTTGTTGAAAATGTTTAAATTGTAAAAGTCTTGGCTGGGAGGTCATCGGAGACTTCAAATTGGTGGCATTGCTGATGGGTTTCCAAGGTGGTTTTACCAAGTTTCCCTGCTATCTTTGCTTTGGGACAACAGGGACACCAAGGCGCACTACCACAGGCGGGACTGGCCACAGCGGACTGAGTTCTCTGTGGGGAGGAACAACGTCAAGTGGGAGCCACTGGTGGACCCCTGGAAGGTGCTGATGCCACCACTGCACATCAAATTGGGCCTTATTAAGCAATTTGTCAAAGCTGCAGATAAGGAGTCGGCAGCCTTAAAGTACCTTCAAGACTTCTTCTCTAAGCCGTCTGAGGCAAAGATCAAAGCCGGTGTCTTCGTCGGACCACAGATGAAGAAGATCCTGGAGTGCAATGAATTCCCCAAGAAGCTCACTAGTAACGAGAAAGCGGCTTGGAACAGCTTTGTCGCAGTGGTTGGGGGCTTCCTGGGCAATCACAAGGTCGAAAACGATGTGGAGCTGGTTGAGACTCTGGTAAAGAACTATGGCACAATGGGCTGTAGGATGTCCCTCAAAGTCCACATTCTTGATGCTCATCTTGATAAATTCAAGGAGAACATGGGAGCGTACTCGGAGGAGCAATGCGAGCGATTCCATCAGAATATACTGGACGTTGAACGCCGCTACCAAGGACAGTATAATGAGAACATGATGGGAGGCTACATTTGAGGGCTGATTCATGAAAGTTATTTACAGTATAATCGTAAATCTCGAAAAAATACTCGCTTCTAAATCTTTTGTAGTCATTTTTGCGTACTTTAGTATAAATACATGTTCATTTTGATTCATAAGTTGTTTTTTTCTGACTTTATGTGAACGAAAAGACACAAATTCGCCCGTTTTCTCATTGAAAATAGGTACATTTCTAAATATCACTGTCCTGGTCACAAAAGCAAAGTTTGTGGGGAATAATAGCCATTTTCCGTACTTTTTAGGCATAAGCAATAAAAAAAATAATACTTACTACCCAGGGACAAAAATTGTGTTACATAGTGAATTCTAATCTATGGGCAATGTAAATACACTTGCTATGTAAAGTGTTATGGGCAATGTTATCGTCTATCTATGTGCCATGTCCTCTCAAACACCTCAGCAATCATGGCCTTCCATCGCACTATATCCATGATATTTACTCAACAGCTTGTTAATAACTTAAGAGCAATGTATGCCTGTGGGTAAGGTTATTCTATCTCGCTTTATGTCCATGATATGACGTCTTTTATTTGTGTGCCTATAAGGGCGAGTGTGAATAGACACAATGTGGTGTTCATGATCTCGTGTCTTCGTTCGGAATTCAACAATTAGAGAGACAGCGTGTTGGGCGGTTGAATAATGTAATTGAGTGTTAGTGAATCTTCTTATCGCGTATAAATAATGATGTGGCAGACGTCAATGTCATCAATCCATCGATTAGTAATGATTGCCAATATGACGATACATCCATGTAATTAGACGTGTTAAGAATCAATGTGGGGTTTTTTTGTCCGGTTATCACGTGGTATACGTCATTGGTACACGTCACTACTGCAGCCACTAGAGGCGCTATCATTCACTACAATGTAAACAAGCCAATATCGTTGTTGAGTCCAATCGTTGATCCGGAATTGCAACGATTATTTGTAAACGGGTGTGCGGTATAAATCGTTCCACCCCTAATCACCATAAATTATCAACGTCCAATTTGATTAAAATGATATGTTGGTGATGCTGCTGCTGCGTTGTCAGTAGTACACAAACAATAACAACTTCTCACAAGCACATTGGTGAATAACACGCCGTGCGTGTGAGTGTGACCTTATAAGAGAAAATATATATATAAATAAGCGACGTTTTGGGCAATGGTCCATCTTCATAGCACATTAAAAACAAACGTCCCCCCCTCCCCCAGTAATAACCAGGGCGGCCGCTGGATTCGAACCTCTGCATTGTCGCAGAGCAGAGCTTACACATGAATAAAATACAAAAACTCGATACAAACGAATGTAAATGATGTCTTTCATTTTTACTCCACGAGATACATGTTTTACAAGCCACGACAAGAGCAGATGCTCAATGCACAAATGTAAAATAAATAAATATCCGCTCGCGCGCGGTGAATGGTGGTCACCACAAAGAACAGAACCGTGGATGCATATAACACAGGACCCGTGGGCCGATTCATCACAAAATACAAAGGTGGCATCATCATCATCATCATCACGGGCGCGATGACTCACACACTGCTCTCCTGCTGACGATATCATCTAGCGGCTAGAGTCTAGCCTCATCAACAACCTCGATGTCGAATTACAACTGCTGCTCTCAACATCGAAAGGGAAAGACATTGGTAAATAATTTAATTCCTCAATTGAGTGCGTAATTAAATTCCTCACCGTATAATTCCTCGCCACATAATTCGCTTCGAACACTTTAGTTTTCCTAAAACAGCTGTAGGTCAACATCCGTGTAATAGGTGGGGTGGGGGAGGGGTGTGAAACAATCCATGTTTGGAGATTTTTCGCGTGACAAATTTTTTCACTTCCACGAGCGAATTCAACACCGCAAAAATTGTCCGCGAAACAACACCGAGACATCATCGCAGAAACAAACATTCCACAACCAGAATCCTTCCAATTATAGCCACAACTTTACACTCTACACCCAACACCACCACCCCTGCCCGCTCTCCCGCCGTTTCCCTCTGTGCGCCTGGATGTGCGTGTGTCTACGTGTCTGTGTGTACGTGTGTGTACGTGGGTGTCTACGTGTGTGTGTACGTGTATGCGTGTGTGGGGAGCGGTAGTGTAGCGTTTAGTGCGCTGCGCTACGAACCCGCCGGCGTGACCACCCAATGGCACCAATTAGAATGTCCGTGCGCGTGTCTGGTGGCCCATATACGCCACATTGCAGTAGCTGAGCGTGTCTTTGTGTGGTCTCTGCGAGTGAACAGCGGTTGTACTATTGACGACCGCTCTGGTTGTATGGAGAGGCTGGGTCACAGACATGGCAATGTGGAATTTCCAGCATTGGCTTTGGCGCTGCTCCGCCGTGCGGAGCCCAGCTGATGCCCGAACAGTCCCAAGAGCGCTGTCACCTGGTGTGTCCTCACGTTGCCTGGTGTGTCCCTACGGTGTGTCCTCACGTTGCCCGGTGTGTCCCCACGTCGCCCGGTGTGTCCCCACGGTGTGTCCCCACGTCGCCCGGTGTGTCCCCACGTCACCTGGTGTGTCCCCACGGTGTGTCCCCACGTCGCCCGGTGTGTCCCCACGGTGTGTCCCCACGTCACCTGGTGTGTCCCCACGGTGTGTCCCCACGTCACCTGGTGTGTCCCCACGGTGTGTCCCCACGTCGCCCGGTGTGTCCCCACGGTGTGTCCTCACGTTGCCCGGTGTGTCCCCACGGTGTGTCCCCACGTCGCCCGGTGTGTCCCCACGTCACCTGGTGTGTCCCCACGGTGTGTCCCCACGTCGCCCGGTGTGTCCCCACGGTGTGTCCTCACGTTGCCCGGTGTGTCCCCACGGTGTGTCCCCACGGTGTGTCCCCACGGTGTGTCCCCACGGTGTGTCCCCACGGTGTGTCCCCGCGGTGTGTCCCCACGGTGTGTCCCCACGTCGCCCGGTGTGTCCCCACGTCGTTCACGATCGATCCTGAGCCATGCGCAGAGAGAGCTGAGCGGAGTCGGTCATCGTTATTATTTTTTGAACCTATGGGGGGCCATCACCAATGAATTCCAACAGCACCCAGGACACCACCACGCCTCCGGCGCCGCGTCTGCGCTGCTGCGAGGTTGGTGGATCGTGCAAAGATGGGAGTCTCCAGGATGATGCTGGTGGAGGAAGAGACGATATGGGGAGATCTCAAAACAGCTGAATTCATCACGCAGCAAACACCAACTGTGATGAAGCATGGTCGAAGCTCCCCTACGACCGACACGGACTGGGGGAGGCTTTGTTTCATCCAGCAGCGTACGCATAAACACATCTCATGCAACTATGTGACACACATTCCACAGGGTATGTGTGACAGGGGCAGCGGTGATGGCGTAGATTCACCCCGCCCGTAGGACGGGCTGCTGCTGTCTTCTTGTATCCACTGACATTTATGTAGCGCAGTGTATAAACATGTCCGTGAAAGTACACATTCCCACACAGCTATAGAGGCCACACGCATACACACATACATACAGCCACACACACACATATACAGCCACATACATACAGCCACACACATACAGACACACACACACATACAGCCACACGTATATGGGCCACACACACAGCCACACACACAGCCACACACACACAGCCACACACACACAGCCATCCACATCCACACACACACAGCCACACACACACAGCCACACAGCCATACACGCGCTCACTCACTGACACGCTCATGCAAAGACAAAGATCCCCCATATAGGCTGTATCGACTGGCAGCGAACACGGCGCGCGATGTGGCGGTTTGGCTGAACACCACGCCCGGCCGCCTTTGTCTCCCTCGTGGCGATGTTCACACATCGCACCAGGTATTAATTTTACGGCTGGGCCGACTTAGGGGAGACCCAGAACCGACTCGGATATTCGTCACCAATTTTGCCTAGGAGCGGGAATCGAACTCTGATTCCCGGTGTTCGTAACGCGGTGCGCTAACCACTGCGCCACCGCTCACATATACACAAAACAACAAAAGATCCCCCGTATAGCCTAAACAGACTGTTGGGGCAAGTGCTGTTAGCGAGTAGCACCTATGACGACCGGAACAGCTCACGACGGGGTGGGTGGCCAGCACCACGCCCGACCGCCTTTGTATCTCCAGCGCCGATGTTTACACACTGCACCTGCAGTTTACTCATTTATGGCTGAGTCCACCTAGGCGCGGTGTAAGGCACAGGCCCGGTTCGGCTCTCACCTGCCATTGACTGGTGTTGTCCGTGACCGGGAAGGCGAAGGTCCGCCGCGCGGTGCGCTAACCGTTGCGCCACCGCTCCCCACTCAACCCCCACCCCTCCCCCCACAACCAGCCGCCGTCACCGGCTGCTCTCCTCGTGTGGAGCAGCATCGCGGATGAGCCGGGCTCGGTGCGGCATCCCCAGCTCCATCCCGCCAGTGCTGGCTTGTGTCGTCATCATCATCATCCTCCTTCGCTTCCTCCAACTGGTCCACCTCTTTATCATGAGCAGCAGCAGCGTCGTCCTCCTCCTCCTCTGCTCGCCCATGATCATCGTCACATCTGCGTAGGGAGACGGGACCCTGCTCGCTCGGGAGGCGCTGCGGATGAGAGAGGCTCAACGGCGGTGGTGGAGAGCGGCGAAGCGCATCGGAGGTGAGCCCGCGGCAACGCACGGCGTGGTGGCACGTGCACTGATACGTGCGTGTACTCGACTGTACGCAGCACTGACACATGCGCACCCAAGTACCGCTGTTTAGGTCACAATGCACCGAGTGCTTTAGCTCATTGGGTACGCGTCCGCTGATACACGCACGTACACACGGCGCCGAAAGCCGTCGGAGCGGCATGCATACGCTGAGATGTGTGCTCATCCGTGGCACGTGCATACGCAGCAAGGGTTTGAGAGTGAGCTCGTGATTCAGCTCAAAGATAACACGTACACACGTGTACACAAGTGTACACACATGTACACACATGTGTGTACGCGTGTATGGCATGCACAAAGACAGAGATCGCCTTTATAGGGCAAGTGCTGTACGCGAGCACCTATGAAGGCCAACAGGGCACACGAGAGGGTGGATGGCCAGCACCACGCCCGGCCGCCTTTGTCTCCCTAGTGGCGATGCTTACACACACCGCACCAGCTACTCATTTGATGCCGAGTCGACCTAGGCGAGGCCCAGGACTGGTGGTGGTGGCCGTGAGCGGGAATCGTAGCGCAGTGCGCTGGCATACAATGACACGTGTGCCACACGCACACTGCCACACGCACACGCATCGTGCATGGCACAGTTGACATGGTGACTTTGTACCCGCGGGTGGGAGCGTCACTGAGTCTCAAGACCTTCTCGGGAGGGTCGGGCATGGTCGGCCAGGCGCGTGTGAGTGCACTGGCAGTGCGCGTGCTTTGTGGAGTGCATGCGGAGTGCATGTGGAGCTCTTCCACTGGCAGAACAAAGTCGATCATGTAACGTGCTTGTTCAGGAGCGCCACACTGAGTCGTTCGACTCTTTTTCAGAAGGCTCCCGCTGCTTTTACATTGGACTTTCATTTATTTTAAGATGATTATTATTTCCAGCCAATTAAGGACGAGTGCTTCATATTATCATCATCATTCAACGTGGGCAGGAGGTAACCGGAGCGCCCGGTGAAAACCCCACGGCTTGTGCAAGGGGGCAACGCTCGATCCCCCGTACAGATGGAATACATGGAAATTAAGAAGAGGCTTTACCCTTTCTGACAATGAAACAAATGTTCAGATGCTCGAACGGCAAATAGGATATACGTTTTGCAAGCACGCCTGGTGTATTCTAGAAGGGGTGAACGCTATTCTTGTTGTGGAGATGAGTCCACACTTCGCTGTACCGCCGTCTCCTGGCGAGCCGGGGTATGGCAGCCCCTTGACGCACACGGGAAGTTTCCTCTTTGTGTGACCCACCAACCCCTTGCTGCTGCTGCTGCTGCCTCCACAGTGGCAGATCACAGACAGCTCCCACCAGTGTGGCCAGTAAGAGGGGTGTGTAGGCAGCATGTTGTATGCCTCTGGAGGCGGTTTCGTGGCTCTGTGGATCAGTGGGCAAGCTGGCAATGGACCGCGAGCCTCATTAATTCTGCCGCACTTACATAACGCGGCGCCCCGCTCAATCGAGCCAATCTCAGAGTCTCTCATTCGCAGAAAAAACTCCCACCAGGCAGCCAGGCAGAGCTGTCGCGGTTATATTGACAGGCCGCTGCGTCGCTCTGCCCGCACGCGGAGAAAAACGTCGAACATCGTCGCCGACCAGAATCATCATCATCTTTATTTGTCCTAGGAGAAATCCGAATGAGCTATGAATCTTTATTTATTTTCAAAGAAATGTCCGGTAGGGGCACGGGGTCAGAAAGGCGAACACGCGGCACCACAACCCCTGAATGGTTCACCGAGAGCTACACGAGGCAGGGGATTCAACCCCTGTTCGCTGTGCCAAGCAATTCGTGGACATTCCACATTCCTATGGCGGAGGAGATGAAGCGTCGTGCGTGGCGCGATGCTTGCTCGGGTTGACGCCGCGGAGACAGGAGGAGGAAGATTAAATGTCATATTGGCTGCTGATGGCACCGATGCGGCCTTAGGTTAAGGCGCATAGGTGGGAGGGAGCTATGATGGCCGATGGAACGAGATTGGTGACGGGATGTCAGTCGAAGGAGGGGGATAAACACGCCAGAGAGATGGATCGTGAGCGTTGGTGACGACTTGGGGAGGCCTTGATCCGGCAGCGGATTGACCCTGGCTCATGATGAGGATGGAGGATTGTGGATGCCAGTGTGAAGACGCACACGCTCACTAACTATTTGCCTGTTACTCATCTAGACTGGGACGCGAGATCACCGGGTGACGCGTGCGTGCGGGGGGAGCGGTGGTGGAGCGGTGAGCGCACTGCGCTACGAACCCGGCGAACAGAGTTCGATGCCTGCTCATGGCCGACACCGGTGACGATTATCCGAACCGCTCCTGGGCCTCCCCTAGGACGACTCAGCCCCAAAACGAGTACCTGATGCGGTGTGTAAACATCGCCCGCTAGAGAGACAAAGGCGGCCGGGCGAGGTGCTGGTCACCCATCCCCACCTGTGCCATGCCGGCCTTCATAGGTGCTACTCGCTAACAGCACTTGCCCCAACAGCCTGTTGGGGCTATACGGGGGAGTGGTGTCTTTGTCTTTGTGTCACAAGGTGCATCTGAACCTGCCCGGCTCGTGTCGGAGCTGATTGTGTGCAACCCGGGCGAGAGCTCGCGAGACCAGGAGACGAGTCTCGTCCTGCGAGAGTGGGCATGTGTGGCTTTATGCCGCTGCCATCAGGGGGCCTGTGGTTGCCTCAGCCACCGCTGCTGCTGCTGCGTGTGCGTGTGCGCGTGTGCGTGATCCCAAGTGAGTAATTTGCGGTGCAATTTTCCAATTTGGAACGCATTTGGAAACAAATGTGGAGCGTGGCGCCGTCACACGATGCGCATGACTCGAGCGAACGACGCCAGGGGGTCTTTAACGTCCCCACTGTGAAGCAGCGAGCGGCGAGCACGCCGCAGCAAGTCCATGTCGCCTGGCTACCGTCGGTCAACTCGGCGTTCAATATGAGTACGTGGTGCAGCGTGTAAACATCAGCGCCGTTGCCGGCCTTCACAGGTGCTCGCTAACAGCACTTGCCCCAACAGTCTGTTAAAGGGCTAACACGGGAAGGGGACGTTTGTGTTCGTGCGTGCAAAATGAGGACGGCGTTGGAACTGCTCAAAGTGAAAATATAAGGCACAGTTCTGCCATCGAACGAGAGAGGATGCCAGTTTGTTTAACCCAGACACGTCCTCTCTCGTGTCAAGACGCACACACTCACTAACGCCATTACAGAGGCAGTGCTGTGATGCTGATGCAGACCCAGACGGGTGACGATTGTCTACCCAGAGAGCATCCCGGTCGCCATAGACAGACTGCCAAACTGCATCGAATCAAAGTTGATTTCCTGCTGCAAATGATCATTTGAGGCGGTGGCTCATCTCCGTGTTCACAGCCACGAGCCACTGGGAGATGTTCCACATTCGTTTGTCGGGGCACAGTCTATCCCAGGGGTTACCACCTATCCCGAGTTTAACTCCAGTTAGCGGTGCGGGAATTGGCATCTGTGGTGTTCGGGTGGCAACAACAATTGATTTGCACCGCGAGATCTGGCTTGACTTTATTGCAGTAGACTGCAGCGGAGATTGTTGGCAATAGGCCCAGTGCCGACTGACGGTTGTACTGTGTCTGGGTTTGGTCTGCAGTGGGGGGGAAAGGTGGCAACAACCCTCGTCCGTCCAGAGCACAACCCACGATTAACTTCTCCCACAAATGGGTTCTCGGTTTATCGACCCTAGGAAGGGAGGGTTGATGGGCTGAGTCAACCACCCACCAGCCTCCACCAAAACACCACCCCAAGGATTTGAACTCGCAGCTTCCCGATCGCTCACTGCCTAACCACGGGACCCATTCTGGCCGCCTGTGTGCGCGGCATGTGAATTAATATTCCGCACGGAGAGTGCATCTGTGTATTCTTGTGCATCGCGTCTCGCCACCGTGGAGCGTGGCGCACGAGGGAGCATACGCAGAGGTAATCATCGCGACACCAAATGCAAAGGTCCCCCGTGTAGGCGTCACAAACTTGGGGCAAGTGCTCTGTTAGCTAGTAGCAGCACCACCTTTGAAGGCCGGTACGGCGCACGAGGGGGTGAGTGGCCAGCACCACACCCGGACGCCACTGGTCTTGGCCTTTGCGTGTTCAAATATTTCCGCACATCTGGATCAGTACAAAATTAATTCCGCTCAGCTCGCCCTCTCCCCCAAAACGTCTTCTCACAATCTCAACATGCAAATGTATTTCTCTGTAATGCGCAGCGTCTTGAGATGACGTTACGTTGAGAAGTTTGATGAAATAATATCCTGTTGAAATGTAACATAGACTGGAAATGTTGCGCGACATTGTGTTGGTATAAGGACAGGGGTCGGCAACCTACGGCTCCGGAGCCGCATGCGGCTCTTTACGGGCTGCTTCTTGACGATATGTACGTATGTACATAGATGCATTGCGGCTCTTGAAATACTGAATTTTGTACAGAATTGGAAAGAAATGGCTCTTCTTGTTATTTTGGTTGCCGACCCCTGGTATAAGGAGGTCGTGCGTTTGAATCCGACCCTGACTCCTGTTTTTTGGAGTTTGCGTGTCTCTCTCCCCGTGGTCGCGTGGATTTTTCTCCGGGCCCTCCAGTTTTTACCCTCCATAATTAGAATCAACGTGCCATTCGAGTGTTTGGCCGCTATACATTTACAAGCCACTTAGTTGGTCTGTCATTTGTGATAGCCAGGTCGCTTCTGAAAAAAAGATCTATATAGCTCAGTGGGCCTTACCTGGTAAAATAACAATGTATAGATTTGAATAGTTTAAATATGGCTTGAGCCTAGCGTTGAACAGGTAGGAGGGGAGTCAACAGCACGGGTGACCAAGGGAAGCGAGTTCCAGACTATGGGGGGGTGTTGTAGCAGAGCAGAGTGAGCGACCTCCCCTCTGAGCGACGGTTGATTTGGTGGCTTGGACAGAAAATGCCTGGGGTGGAGGGGTTGGTGGGGCGAGACGAGAGGGGAGCGTCACGTGCGTGCGTGCGTGGGCGTGCGAGTTAACACTCATTATCTCGTTAATTCCCGACGATAATGAACAATTCCTCGCAAGCGGCTCGGCGTACGTGCCCCGTTTTAATCGTTGCGCATCTCCCTGAGCTAGCCACGTGTAAAATAAAGAAATAACCGCCACCACCCACACGTGGCAGAAATATAGAAATATCTAAATGTCGGCGCACCTTCTCGCCGCAGCGTGGACCGAGCGAGCACCGCATTGGCACAGTCCTCGCGCCAGGCTCGGGTAGCACGGCTAAAACAACAACAACAAACAACAACAACAATATATCGGCGCTCGCTGCCACGGCCACGGCCGTGGGGTCCACGGCGACTTTACAGCTCTCCTCCTCCATGCAGTTATTCTGCTGCTTCTGCTTGCGAGCGAGTGCTGTGTTCATACGGCGTTGGTGTCCCAGTGACATGCATTGTCCCTTGATGGCCTAGATCAGTGTTCTTGAATAATTTTCAGAGGGGCAGGGAGGGGAGGGCACTTTCGCCGATGCGACGTGATCGGTGCGAGAGCGGCCACTCGTTTGAAACCATTGGGGGTTTAACGGCACGATGATGATGGGGTGGGGGAGGGTGTTCACTCGTTGTGTATTCATCTTCTTGGTTTTTTCGGTAAAGTCACGTAGAAGGGAGATAATAAAATAATAAAAATAAAACATAGTAAGATAATACAATGTTTTATTTTTATTATTTTATTATCTCACTTTTATGTGACTTTACCGAAAGAACCAAGAAGATGAATCCCTGCAGTCACGAAAGGTTTAAATCGTTGTGTATTGTCAGGGACCGCACTCAAGGCCACCAGGGGTCAGCAGTGACCCGCGGGCCTTGCAATGAAGATCCCTGCTCTAGATGCGTCGCCTTGATCGTCAGTCATGAGCTATTTGATCTGTTTAGTGGGTGGGAAACCTTTTCTCTGCCAAGGGCCATTTGGACATTTATAACATCATTCGCGGGCCATACAAAATTATCAACTTAAAGATTAGTCAATTACATTTGGTCAACCATTTAATTAACTCACTCCTAATGTGATGGCTGGAACAACCAATTTATTTCGCGAGCTTTATACTGCCCACGGGCCGGACGTTCCCCACCCACTCGAACTCATGTGCTGTGACGAATGGCCGTTCTTATAAACGTCGCCGATAATGTGTTGTTGACGAATGCGTTGAGTTGTTGCTGTTCGCTGTGCGTCTGCACTCCTGCCAACGCAGCAGCAACAGCAAACAATGACCAAATAATTTGTTTTATCTGTGAACGGCTGCCCAAGCCATCGCCACCTCTCTGAGTGATCCAACGCTACAGCCTAGACCTTGCACACAAGCTGATGCCATTGCTCCATCGCCGCTGCAGTGGATGTCCTTCCGGAATGTTCTTAAAATTGGCTTCCGTTCGGTCCGTCAGTCTCAACCAGTGAATTCCCATTTATCAATTCTGCTTCAACGTATCGATTCAAACAGATTACTATGCTCGCGAAACGTCGAACCACGCAGGCAGGAATTGATGATCAACAATTAATCTAGTGTTGAAACCAACGACCAAAGTTCGATTCCCTTCCACGGCTCAAATCAGCAGCAAGTGCCATCTGAGTCGGTCCTGCCCCCCCCCCCCCCCACTTCACCAACCCGCACTGACCAGCGTGGTGAAGTATGGTCGAACAACCCCCATGGCCGGTATGGCGTGGGGAGGGCCTTCTTTCACCAGTGGATCAAAAAAAATGGGATGTAAATTATAATTTCATAAACATTTTAAAGGACATTTTGAAACCTATTTCAGCCTCTTCCCTTGAGAATCGGGTCCGTGCCCATTGGGATGTGTTGTTCCTTTTGGAAGTGGGGTCCTAAGTAACTTTAATTCATCATCATCATCATCACGGTCCATGCGCAGAAAACCCGTAGGTGTCCACTGCACATTTCGTCATTTGTTTCCACTTTCCTCTGTCTTGTGCCAATATGCTCAAGTAGTGGCCACATCTTTCTGGCTCCAATCTTTGTCGTCAAGCCATTCTCTTAGAGGTCTTCCTCGCTGTCCGGTTCATTCCATGTTTCCAAAACAACAACAACAACAACACTTAAAAAATGTCTGTTGTTGCCCATCAAACGTATGTGTCCAAATGATGCCAGTTTCCTGCTCATCACTGCCTGCATCGTCAGGTCTTCTTCTGTGTGCAACCTTTTATTGCTTTAATTAGGACCAGTTAATTCCTACTGTGGTGTTAGGCAGCTCACTTTCCCGATTGCATGCTTTTATTTATTTCGCCACCAAATTCTACGACCGTCAAACGCCTCGTTTGTGAGTTGACCAATATTCCTTATTTGTTCTCTGCAATTGCGAAGTCGTTGTCTTTGTTTTTGCTGCTGTGGTCACAACACCACGGCTCTCCCGTCTAATATAGCCAGGAAACTGGTGAAAGGGGATCATCATCCTTGTAGCAAATCAAAATAAACTCAATGTGTATTTTTTGTATTTGCTCTTGTCTGTTCCAGTGTTTGTTGTTTCACGAACGACAACGCTGGCATACTCTCTTGTTGATTCCTAGAGATGCGAATTTGTTGGCTCGGAATCAGGGCCTGAATTCTGTTGGCTTGGAATGAGGGCGTGAATTCTGTTGGCTTGGAATCAGGGCCTGAATTCTGTTGGCTTGGAATGAGGGTCTGAATTCTGTTGGCTTGGAATGAGGGCCTGAATTCTGTTGGCTTGGAATCAGGGCCTGAATTATGTTGGTTTGGAATGAGGGCCTGAATTCTGTTGGCTTAGAATGAGGGCCTGATTTCTGTTGGCTTGGAATGAGGGCGTGAATTCTGTTGGCTTGGAATCAGGGCCTGAATTCTGTTGGCTTGGAATGAGGGTCTGAATTCTGTTGGCTTGGAATGAGGGCCTGAATTCTGTTGGCTTGGAATCAGGGCCTGAATTCTGTTGGTTTGGAATGAGGGCCTGAATTCTGTTGGCTTGGAATGAGGGCCTTAATTCTGTTGGCTTGGAATCAGGGCCTGAATTCTGTTGGCTTGGAATGAGGGCCTGCATTCTACTGGCTCAGAATGAGGGCCTGAATTCTGTTGGCTTGGAATGAGGGCCTGCATTCTACTGGCTCAGAATGAGGGCCTGAATTCCCAATGCAATGTAGAGCACGCCACCGCCGTCACCACTCGCACGCGGTCACTTCGAACGGCGACCCCCGGCCCACAGCGGCCTTCGCCCGCGAGCGGTGGCACAAGGCCCCGCAAGAAACATGCAGTGAGATTATTTAGATTCATAATCGAGGTTTTTTTTGGGTTGCATTGCATAAATATACAAAACATGCCAATTCGAATTGGCAATTCGAATTGGCATGTTTTGTTTACGTGACAAACCTTACTAATTGACTGCATCGGGTGGTGGCGGGTTTAACGACGCCATCTAACCCTCTAATGGATAATATTCGTCGCGAAAGGCTATGTGTAAAACATTCTTTAAATGTTTTTGCTGCTATAAATGTCCAAATGATAAGACGCTTTGTTGAGCTATCATTTATGGCCAGATCGCTTCCCGTAAAAATAAGTTAATACCTCGGTGCGCTTTGCCTGGTAGGATGGGGATGGTTTAGTTGAATTTGTTTGTGTTTGGGTGATTTGTTTACATTTCTTGAACTTTGCACTCCTATCGTGTTGTTGTATTGTTTGTTGTTGTAACGTTCTTACCCTGTGGCCCGACTGAACATCTGTGAAAAAGAGCTTTATAGCTCATCGGATTCCTCCTGCACTATAAATACAGATTCTGATTCTGATATTCTCTTCGCGGCTTCAATGGCCCTTTGCTAGTCCATCCAGCAGTTTTCCGTATCCCAATATGAGATCTTCCTCTTGATCCGTATGCCGTTACGAGATCTTACTCTTCATCCGTATCCCTAATACAAGATCTTGCTCTTGATCCGTATCCCCATATAAATGGCCACAATATTCAATACATCTCTTTTTTTGTCTCTTCTACATCCATCTACAGCTTATCGTCCTTGCCTTGTATCGCCGTTGGCCTTGTGTTACCACTTCCTATTTGTGCCCTTGCCTAGTTCGTACACGTGCCTGCTCTTGTATCCTCCAGCGCAGTATTCAACGTCCGCTACATTGCTTCTCCAGCCATTTCTGCCGTTGTCCTCACCTCATTGCACAGCTGTTCGTACTTCGTCGCCATCTCGTCCGATACCTTGATCTTTAGCCCTAATTTGTCTCTTTTTCTGTGTTAGTTCCAAGGTTTTCTCAGCTACCCGTTTTCTTTCGGGTCTTCCATGCCCACGCTGCGTTAATCCCCCCCCCCCCCCAAATTGACGGCGGCGTCACTTGGACCGTGCAAAAAAAATGAGCCGTCGCGACTGCGAGCACCCCGTCCGGTGGACATGCAAACGAGCAGCCAGTTCCGCCGCCAGACACGCAAACAAAGGTGCATAACAACAACGACAACAACGACAACAGCAGCCATTCGCCACACAAGTGTGGGGGGGGAGGGGGGGCGGAGGAAAAATCTGGGCCAAAGCGGAACGCTTCTGGCGTGTTTGGTGCCGAGCGTTGCGATCGACGGCGGCCGTCTTGAGCGCACGAGCGGCGTGCGATGCCGGGCGGAGCGGTCGGCCCGGCCGGCGGGAACCGAGCAGGCGAGAGGCTGTGGTCCCCGCTGCTCGCCCCCGATGGGTTGGCGCTCATCCCGCGAGCGACTGGACGCCTTTGTCCTTTCCTTCCCTCCTTCCTCCCCTCCCTTGTTTCGGAGAGAGCAGGCGGACGCGTGTGATGCTGCCGCTCGATGCTTCTGGCCCCCCGCGCCGTGGTGGTGGCGGCAGCCGCCCCCCGCCGCCCGCCGCCAGCTGTGTCCCCGCGCCCCGCGTGACCCACATCTCCATCTCCTCCGCGCTAACAAAAGGAGCGCTAATGAATTGACAAGAGTCTCGCTTTTGCAAGGTGCGCTCTCGCCTCGTTGGAATAGCGATTACCGAAATATATTATTATTATAATTCGCATTATCGTCGTTATTAGGTTTCTAATTTTAGCATCGGGGCTGCGTGGCGGCCTGTGGTGGGGGAAGGAGGGGGGGATTGTTGGAGCGATCCGGAGCGAGCGAGCGAGCGTGCGAGAGAGGAGAGACTCCGTTGGCGGGCGACGCTCGCCAGGGTGCAGAGAGAGCACGTGAGGAATGGAGAAGGGGATGTAAATCGATTCGATTAATATCTACCGCTTTTCATTTCGGAAGCTGCCACCGGCGTTCAGCGATCGCGCGTCGCTGCTAATCGCCGCCGTAGCCCCCAGCCGGTTGAATTCTCGGTGGCGATGATCGCGCCAGGAACTTGAATTTCCCTTCGCCTCTCAAGGTGGCCTGCAGAATGGCGCGCAGCTGCGGCGCTCACCGGCAAACCCGACGAAAGCGGCCGACGGCGAGAATCTTCCGGCCGGCTTCTTGCCAATCGCCTGCCGCAGCCCCAGTCGTGGCAATCGCTTGAACTGCACCCGACCGACCGCATCGGCGAATCGGATGCTTCGTCGGGGTCGCGCCATCCGCCGGCTCGCCACCGGCTCCCCGTCGTCGCCGGCACCTCAGGACGCCACCGTCCACTCGAGCGTCTTTCGGACGCCACCGTCGGCCGACCTTCGCGCTCTGAGGCAGCGGCCGCCCCCGGCCGCGCCGGGACTCCCCGCTCGATGCCGCCCCTGAGCAAGTGGAGGGACCTGAGCCACGCGCCGACGATGAGCGCCGACGAGCCGCGGGCGCCCTACAACCAGTCGCTGTCGTGGCTCATCTGCGCCCTCGTGGCGTTCTTCGCCAACGTGTGGGGCATCCTGAGCGTGACGGCCAAGCAGCACAAGTGGAAGCCGCTGGACATGCTGATCTGCGCGCTGGGCGCGACGCACGCCCTCAACGCGGGCGTCCCCATCGCCATGTACTCCGTCATCCAGATGCGCAAGTACTCGTCGGACTTCGAGTGGAACGAGGGCGTGTGCAAGGTGTTCGTGTCCACCTTCTACACGCTCACGCTCGCCACCAGCTTCACCGTCACGTCGCTCTCCTACCACCGCATGTGGATGGTGCGCTGGCCCGTCAACTACCGGCTGAGCAACGCGCGCAAGCAGGCGCTGCAGACCGTTGCGGGCGTGTGGACGGTGTCGTTCGTGCTGTGCGCGCTGCCCGCCGTCGGGTGGCACGACACGGCCGAGCGCTTCTACCACCGTGACTGCCGCTTCATCGTGGGCAAGATCGGCCTCGGCTTCGCCGTCTGCTTCTTGCTGCTGGTCGCGGGCAGCTCGGCGATGAGCGTCGCCTGCATCGGCGTCGCCTTCTTCCAGACGGTGCGCGCCGGGTGCGGGCGCGGCCACGCCGCCGCCGCCGCGGGCGCCTCGGACGCCGCGTTCACGGTGCCCGCCATCGTGGTGGAGGACGCGCAGGGAAAGCGGCGCTCGTCCATCGACGGCTCCGAGTCGGTGCGGACGTCGCTGCAGATCACCTACCTCGTGACGGCCGTCGTGGTGCTCTACGATGCGCTGGCCGCCATGCCCATCATGGTGAGCGACGTCGTCCTTGCCATCCCCCGACCCACCCCTCCCGTGAGAATCACGCCGGCTAAGGTGTATTGTCAGCCTGGGCGCCACGGTGGCGAGATGTTAACTGCCTTGCCTCGTATACAGGGGGTTCGATCCCGGCCCTTGGCGCCTGCTGCTGTATAGTTGGAGTGTTCATGTTCTCTCCCCTCGTGGTCGCGTGGATTTCTCTCCGGGGTCCTCCGTCTTTTCCCTCCACAGTATTTGGCTGCTATTCATTTCCACCGTCATGACGAGCCACTTCATTGAGCTGTCATTTGTGATAGCCAGGTCGCTTCTGTAAAAGAGCTGTATAGCTCAGTGGGCCTTACCTGTTAAAATAAAATATAGTTGATCGTTTTTCGAGACTGTGGTCTTTTCCCCAGCCACTCTGTTTGATTTGCACGTGGTGCCAAATGGTCGCGAATGGGAATTGCTCCAAACGACCCCGATTGCAGGAGTGCCGTGTTTCTGGACAGTGTGCATCACCGGCACTTGAGATTATTTTAATTGTGCGGTCATTGGTCCGTCAACTCTCGCTGCGCTGGAGAACCCGATTTAATCGCAGCGGGTGGCCGAAACCTGGATTCTTTTTAAACCCAGAATTTCGACGGTGCCGATTCAGTGCTCCAATCTCCCTGGGTTGTCTGCGGCCTCCTCTTGTTCTTTCTCGACGACAGCGGGCGGTAGACTGGGCCGTGCAGAGACGGCCATACGAGCCGCTCGCCGGGTGTAAAGTGCTTCATTAATCGGAAGCTACCGTCCGCTCACCGATGTCACAAATTGCACCGGAGGTGTTCAATTAAAAGAGGAAGGAGCCGGAGCTACTAATTTTAGACCCCGGATCGACGATGGAGCGGAGATGCTCCCAATAATTTGTTTCTTTGCTGCGGCCTCGTCTGTGGAGGCTCTCTCAGGACGCCGCGTGTGCTTACCCAGTAAGCATGCAAGGCGCCACAGTGGCGAGATGTTATTTCGCTTGCCCTAGTATGCAGGAGGTCGTGGGTTCGATCTCAACCCTGACACCTGTATATTTGGAGTTTGCATGTCTCTCTGGGTCCTTCGCTTTTTACAACCACATTTAGAAACGTGCGTTCAGAGTATTTGGCTGCTATAAATGTTCCACACGATGATACTGTAAGCCACTTCGTTGAGCTATCATTTGTGTCAAGGTCCCTTCTGATATAGATCTATCTAGCTCAGTGAGCCTTACCTGTTAAAATAAAATATATATTTTTTTAGTTTACGCAACGTTGGCCCAATCACCTCTCTCTATGAGTCCGTTCTCTCTCCCTCTCTGAGTCTTTTATCTTCCTCTCTGAGAGTGAGAGGATGCCGTGCGGAGGAGCGTTGCAAGTTGAAATCGTGATTTCTGCCATCGGTGTCGTCATCGGCCACTGGCTATCCAACTGCCAGATGAAATACATTTCAATGCAATCGTTACCACTCCTCAGTGTTTTCCAGTTGCGTTCCTCCGACGCATTGTTTATTTATTGTATTTCACTGATGAACGACAACGACAACAACCACTTGCGTTGAGATGGCGCGGTTAGAGTGGCGTCACACAAATTGGCCGATGCGGCCGGGCTGGCTGATGTTCTCTCCACCACAGCCATTCGAAGCAAAAATGTTATCCAAACCAATCCGTGAATGAATAGAGCGTCGTATGCCTCCCCTTTTTCTGTTGCCAATCGTTACAATAACCAATAATTATAACAACCAATAGTTACAGCAATCGACAGCGTTTCAATATCAGGAAATGACCGCGGATATCCACAAAGAAGGCCACAAACGCTGAGCATAGTACAAATATAAGAAAATCCAAAGTTCGATCAACGTCGTTATTTTATTTTGCTTGTGCCTCTGTCGTTCCACCCGCACCCTCCCATTGTCCCCCCGACCCCCGTCCCTCAAGGCCGTGAGCTTCGTGAGCATCCGGCACGACGCGGCGCGACCGTGGATGGTGATCGCTTGCCTCTGGTGCTCGCTGGTGCAGACCATGCTCTTCCCGGCCATGGTGTGGCTGTGCGAGCGCTACCGGGCCGACTGCCGCGCCATCTGGGACAAGTGCCTCGCCCTGTTGGCCAGCGACGAGGGTGCGGAGCCGATCGCGGGTTTGGCGACTGGACATCTGCATGAAAGAGCTTGATAGCTCATCGGATTCCTCCAGGATTAAAGAAAAAAATTCCGATTCTGTTATTGTTTTCTGGTTGTTGTCATCGTCGTCGTTTTCCGCCGACGCGGAATCTGTCACGGCTCTCGCAGGGCGACGCGAGCCGTTGTGCTAGAGGACGGCCCGCGGAAGCGGATGTCGTGGAGCTGCGTCTGAGGCCCCGTGAGGTGGCTGCCGCTGTGCCCGTGTGTGGCGACGCTCGCCGGCCCAGGAGACCTTTTGACCCGGTTACCGGCAGCAGATACTCGACATCCCATTGTTGCGTCTGAGCCAGATTGGCAGCAGACGTAGCGCAGCAGCGTTGATGCTGTTGTTGCTGTTCCAGAGACCGTGCGGTCAGAACGGCACGTCCCTAAGAGCGCGCAATGATGGACGTTCAGACCTACTGTTCTCCGCGTCTGCGTGTATCTCTTATCTTTCTCTTATCTCTCCCTTTTATCTCTCCCACATCTCTCTCTCTCCTCGCGCGACCGCTGGGTGCAGAGAAGTCCGCGGGCTGCCCTTACGCGTCCCCCTACGGCTCGGCGCAGCGCTTCGACCCGCTGGCCCCGCCCGAGACGCTCAGTGTGGAGCGCTTCACGCACGGCGGCGGCGGCGGCGCCGATGGCTGCGGCACCGCCGGGGAGCCCGGAGAGCCGGGGAGCTCCGAGCTCCACCTCGGCCTCGACAGCTTCCCCCTCTGCGAGCTGCCGCAGGGAGACCGCATGCAGTACCTGCAGGTGGCAGTCGCACACACACACACAACAGGCAAACCACCGTCACCATCACGATCCATGGACAAAAATCCCGCAGGTGTCCACCGCACATGTTCCTCTCTGTCTTGTGGCAATATGCACAAGTCGTGGCCACATCTTTCTGGCACCAATCTCTTTATGTCATCGTGAAGCCATTCCCTCTTAGGCCTTCCTCTCTTTCCAGTTCCCTCCATTTTTCCGAACAACACGTTGGCCATCTCCCCACACATGCACGCACACAGACAAAGATTCCCTGCAGAGCTGACTGTTGTAGCGATGTTAAATAACGATGATGATGATGATGATGACGACGACGACGAATATGATAACAATGACGATGAAAACAATGACGATGAGCAATGACAGTAACGATGGCCATGACAACATTACAGTCATGATTACGCCACTGTAGAAGATGATGAGGATGATGACAACAGTCGTGAAATCAATTGCAATGATGAAACACGATGACGATGATGGTGACGACGATGATGTTGATGGTGATGATGACGACGACTATGATGATGGTGACGATGATGACGATGGTGATGACGATGGTGACGACGACAATGATGGTGATATCGATATTGACGACGATGATGGGATGTCGATGATGATGATGATGACGATGATGGTGGTGACGATGACGACGATGATAGCGATGACGACGACGATGATGATGCTGACATCGACGATGCTTGGGCCGCCGCGCTCTCTCCCTGCAGGTGCCGCAGACTCGCCGCTTCTCCCACGACGAGGGCGACGTGTGGCAGGGCGCGCAGACCGCGTACCTCCAGGTCTGGGCGCCCACGGGGGGCTCCGGGGTGATCCACATCCACGGCGCCGTCAAGCCGGGCGACCTGGGCCCCGGCGGGGGCTACCTGCTCGCGCCGTACTCCGACCCGCAGCTCGCCGGCCACCCGGCCTACCACCACCACCACCACCACCGGCGGCGCCGCCTCTCCGACGACTACGGGGCCCTCATGCGGCAGCGGCTGCCGTGCGGCGGCGGGGGCAACGACGCCGGCCAGGTGGGCGACGAGACGGCGCCGGCGGCGAGGGCGCCCGAGTCGTCGCGGTACGTGAGCCGCGAGGACGTGGCGCGCTTCATCGACAAGACGTCGGTGACGCTCGGCGGTGGGGGCGGCGGCTCCAGCGCCGCGGCGACGGAGCCGGCCGACTCCGCTGAGCTGCGAACGATCGTGCTGGCGGACTTGGCGGAGGAGCCGCGGTGCAGGCACCCCGCCCCCCTCTCTCCTCGCCCCAACCCCAGCCCCGATCCCGCCGCTCCCAGCGCCGACGCGGGAGGAGGAGGCGGCGGCGGGGACGACGGTGCCGCAGAGCGGACTCGGGTCTCCGGCGTCGACGGCTCCGCGGGGGGAACTCCGACGCGCGGCGGCGACGCCCGAGGACTTGCCGTGCCGGTCGTCTCGGTGTCGCCGGCCAAAGAGGCCGCCGTGAAACCGTGCGGCCGCGCGGCCGGCGCGACGCGCGACGGGTCGGACGGCGCCGTCGCCGCTTGCGCTCGGTCTGCGTGCGAGCGGGGAGCGCGGGGGGAAGCCGTCGCCGCGGCCGCGAGTGAGAGCGCCGCGTCGTGAGCGAATACGTGCGAGGCGGCGAGCCGGACCGACCGACCGACCGACCGACTCGCTGACCGTGCGGAAAGAAGACGGGCGAGCGACCGTTGGTCGTCGCAGGCCGTCGCGTCAGCCCGGCGGTGACGTAGGAAGCGGGCGCTCGACGGAGCCATGCTTGGCCCTGTCCTCACGACGCATTGTGCGAGCTCGGCATTCACCGGAAGCGTGCGAACGGAAGCGAGCGGAGCCGCTGTCGTGGCGAAGTCGCGACAAGAGGCTCCTGTGTGCCGACGAGGGTGGTGAGAAATGTCACGGCGTGTCTCGGTTGTGGGAAAAGAAACACGTGGCCCAGAACAAGCTGTGAATTTTAATGGCGAGGAAACGTATAAAACATTTTTTAAAATTGATTTCAGTTTTCTTTTTTCTCTACTCCTTTTGCACAGGGCTCAAGTCTTGCATCGACGTGAAAAAAATGTAATTACAGAGCAAGAAGTGCCTGGGGTGTGCTGGAGAGAAAGCCATTGCTTAAATAAAATAATTGCTTCTCAAAAACAAGAACGCTGGTGAACGTCCGACGATCTTACAAAAGCCTCGGGCAGCTGTGTGCAAAGGCACATCGATGAGTGGGTGAGACTGTGCTAACAGTCGTTGTATCCCTCTGAAAGGCATACCCCGTGATCATCGTCATCATTATAAGCCATGGTCTATCCACTGCTGGATGAAGGCTTCATCACGCTGTCACCATTTCTATTGGCCCTCTGATAAGAATCTGAATATTTATTTTTTCTGGAAAAAACCGACGAGCTATTTTTTTTCACAGATGTCCGGTAGGGGCAGGTCAGAACGTTACAACAACAATACAACAACACAGTCCATCTCACTCCTTCACAAGAACCGGTCTTAACGCTGCCATCTCCCCGGCGACCGACGTGGGACACGTTCTCCCATACGCGTTGCGGCCGCCATTCCTTCGTAAGGCCTGTACATGGGTCGTCATCCCTTCTCGTGGATGCGTCCTGCCCAAGCCCATTTGCTGTTCCCAAGAGTCCATTTGGTGTCTGTGATTTGCAGTTGTTCACCGATGCTCCTCTTTCTGTCTTGCAGTTTATTTCAAGTACAAGTATGGGCCTTTACATTCCTCTTCAGCAGGTCCCAGAATTCCCACTTATCGAGCAAAGCCACACTTGAGTCCAAGGACTCATTATCAGGAGGGTGCTGCCACATTTGGGTTTTTATTTTAAGATGTTTCAGCAAGTTAATGGGTTGTTTATTATATGTGGGGGAGGAAACCCGTGAGGGGGCAACGCTCTATCCCCATACAGATAGAAACAGATGGCGATTACTCCACCGCCCTCTCCTGTGCACCGCCTTCTGGCGAGCCAGGGTATGGCACCACCTCGTCGCCCACGGGAAGGGAGTTTCACAACGCCATCCGTGCGGTGATCCACCAACCCTCGGTGCTGCCACGGCGCTGCTGGGTTACAGACAGCCACGTGCAGCGCAGCTACCACCGCTGCCCGGCTACCTGCCGGTTACCCTCAGAGCGAATCTCGTCAGAACCCAGCTGTTGTCACGGCTTGCCACTCGGGCGCGGGTCAGCTCATTTTTAGCGCATTGTCGCCTGACCCGAACCCAAACGGCAACCCGCAAAAACGTACAATTCCGACTTGCTTCGTGGAAACCCGTGGGTCGCCGTGGGTCGCCGTGGGAACCAGAATCTGTTACCAATTGCAGGACCGCAGCGTTTCCCTTGCTGCTGCTAGCCACCAACTTCAGGAGGATTTCTCCATCGACGAATTCGGGTTTTTTTTTTATGGGAACTGAATGGCCTGAGCATTCAGATACCCTCGTGTGAGTTACCCCATCCGGCGGATTTGAGTCTGACGTTTTTAAATAATACAACGTGTGTTTTCGGTGAAGTATTTGGAATCGCATATCTGCTGTCAGATATGTCTCCTCTGCAATGCACTCAAAACGACGTCTCTCTCTGGGCTATTATTCATGAGGAGGTGTGACCTTTGTGACTGTTTAACGATGAATCTTTACAGGAATCGGCGCGATTAATCACCGCTCCGGTAACGTCTGAAAAATATTAAGCTGATTAAAACAAAAGAAACCCGTTTCGTTAGTATCCCCGCTCGATGTTGTGCAATGTTTATAATATACGTAAAGTTTTTTTTTTGGTACATTTTCCTAAAATGTAAATAACACAGTGAAATTTGTTAGGTGTAAAAAATGTGTAAAAAAACACGAAACGAAAACTTTTGTACAAAAAACTAAATCCGTTTGCAAGCTCTGTCTTGCGAACCGATATCAGTTGCAGCGTTGGGTTCACAAACCCGCGAACGTGCGCGGTTCGTCAACTCGTCCGTTTATCGAATCGTGATTTTGACATCTCGAGTCTTCGCAGTGTCCCCACAACAACGGGCGCGGATGTTTTATCTTTTACCCCCCCCCCTTCCTCGCGCTGTTGATGGCATCGCCGAGATTTGACGGTGCACTTACGAGATGACTGACAACACTGCCGCGTGCCGCGTGCGTGGAAGACACCCACACAGTGCTGTGACAATGGAGTGCGCTGGCTCTTAGCGTAACGTGGCGCTTCATGGGTACAGACAAGTCTACAGACTTAACCCGCCATTGCTCGTTCGCAGCTATGCCAGCAGCTCTGAAACAGCAGTCCTTTATTCAAAGGCCACTCCCCAACCTCTGCCTTTCCACAGTTTACCAAATCTTCTTCTTTGCTGTTCCCACGCAGCTCGAGGTGACCGCTTGGCAGGTGAGCGGAGTGATGCTCGTTATCAACCTGGTGCTTGACTTCGGATGATTGTGTAACAGGGGGTGAATTTAAAATCATCGATTTTGAAACAACGCAATTGAATCGCAATTGAATCACTCCGGCATTAATGTTTCGGTCTGGCGGTTTCAATGGCAGAATGTTTGCATATTTTTTAGCGCAGAGATCCGATGCGGTGGTTCGTACGCTGCACCGCAAACCTGGTGTCCTGGGTTCGATTCCCAGCCACAGCTAACAACTTTCACTCGTCACTTGATGATAGCCTTAGAAAACAAACGTGGCTAACATCAGTGGCGTGTGATATGTGGACCAGTCCCGGCAAGACCCCTCTTCGTTAACCCGCATTGACCAGCTTGGCGAAGCATGGTCAAAAAACCCACATGACCGACACGCCATGGGGGAGCCTTCACCCAGAAGAGTTGTCAATTATGATATTTGTCATCTGAAAATGTAACGTGGTTGAATTTGTTTTATTTTACATGTGCTCTAATTTACATTGAAGCAGTGATGAGTGGCATCTTTAAAGTTACAGTCTCATTTGTCATCTACGGATGCCGATGCTGTGATGATGAATCCATGGACTGCGTGCGTTCACCTTTATAAAGAGGCTGACTGTGTGTGCGTGTATAGCCCTGACACGCAGTCTCTAGTGTGCGCGTGTGGAGTGGTGGCACTGCTACGCACCCTGAGCGACCCAATTCGTGCTCACAGCCGACATCGGTGATGAATACCTGAACTGCTCCTGAGCCCCCCCCCCCCCCTCGGTCGACCCAATGAGTACCTGGTGCAGTGCGTGAAACGTCAGCACAACGAGACAAAGGTGGCTGGACGTGGTGCTAGGTACACCAACCGCCTTCATATGCGCTCGCTAACGCCACTTGATAGACTACATGGCGGATATTCGTTTTTTTTGTCCAGCCATAAATATAAAATAAATGATTTTGCCATGTGACGAGCATCTCTATAGCTGGCTGTGTGTGAAAGGTGTAGCAGTCCGAAAGTGGATCAGATGTAATTTGCAGGGAACTGAGAAGTCGTTTTCTGATATCTGCGGCCATTCTGTTCACGTGTGGAGCGTGCCCTGCTCTGCGAGAGTTCCACATGTAGTAACGTGTGTGTCGTGACATTCACCCGAAAGTGCAATCGCATCAACATTGGAAGTGCTGCTCTCAGTCGCGTGCGATCGCGCTACATCTTCAAACAGGAACACTTTGCATGCCCAATTTACATCGGTTTGGAGATTGTGGCATACGCACTCAAACACGCGGATTCCAATATGAGACTGCTTGCTTGGATCATGTCTTTAAATAAAAGGTAAAATATTTGCATTGTCACAAGATTGGAAATGTACCTACTCATGCACCGGGGGCTTATTTCCGTTCACGCATTCAATATTACTATGGTTTTAGAATGTGTTTTTTTTATATCTTTCATAACATGTTTAAATTGTATTATTTCATGCGATCTTGATGTAATTTATTCAGTTTTATTTTCTTACTATTTATTTTCGGAATGTGTGCGCAATGGTGTGTGATTATTGCTCTTGTCGTGTTGTGAATTAATGAGTTGTGTCTGCGGATATTTTTTTTATTTTCTCGGACCCAAGTGGAACTGATGAGCTGCTGCCATCTCTGTGAGAGTCGCCTTGGACACGTGTCGTGAATCTCAAGGGTCCGTCCCGGTTAAATAAAGATCAATGGAAAAATAATGTATATCTTGTGATAATATCAAATCCAAATATACACGCTTTGTAATATGTATGCCTTGATAAAAAAAAAAAATCTAATTCTATACGCCAGAGCGATGGACGAGGGGATGTGGTCTCTGCATTGATGTTGAGGTCTCGACAGGGGAGGGGGGTGGGAAAGTGTCTAATGAAATATTGAATTAGCTTATTATTGAAAGCCACAGCAAGTGCCCTTGAGCAATTCGGCTGTTCACATTTCAGGCTCTTGTTGGTCGGTGTATCCAACGGTGGTCAATATGAGTAGGCCGACGTAAAATAAATACGGCCGCAACATTTAACGTTGTGAGGTTATTGTGTCATCATGAGTTTTGTTTTGTTTTCGTACTTTTGGAAAATCGTTGCCCCCCCAAAAAGCATATGGTTGTTGTAAGATTGTTAACAATTGTAGTAAAGTTTGGGTTTACTGTTGCTTGTTCCACATGAATGTTTGCTCTCACTCTTAAAATAAAATGAGCAGCGACATTCAAAGAATACACAAGTGGGGAAATTCTTTCCTGAGTGGTGGACGCAAAGATATATTTTAAGTTCCAAGTTCATTTGAGATGAAGAGACCAGGTTAGTCTCGCCAAAATTACCAAAAAGCATTAACTTAACGTAATGGGCTCAATCAACAAAGTGGAAAAAGGTGAGTGGATCAATTGACCAAAGAGATCGTGTTTGAGACATTGGGAGCTGCACACGGTAAGGAGCGACCTTTGAATTGCGCAGTTGACTACGTACGGTGAGAAAAAAGTTCCACATACAACCTACCATGCCGATTGCGTCGATGGCAACAACAGCTCTGTGGAGATGACAATGCCACGGCCCTCAGGTAGCATTCACTGAGTGCAGAACTCCGCTGTCCTATTTCACACGACGTAGCCATAGCAGCTCTCTATTAACTTTTATCGGAGGGTTATCTGAATAGTTTTTTTTTAATTAGCACGGTTGGCTACGCACAGTGCGAAATAAGTTCAACGTACGTACGAGTAAAATTCACGTATAAACCCCACGGATAATGGGATCTGCGATGTCGGTTCCCCCATATCACCGCAGTTAAGAGTTATCGTGTGAAACCACACTTGTAAAAAAAAATAGTCGGTGTCCACGAGCCTATTTTTTTCTTTTTTACCAGTGGCACACCACGGTAAATGGAATCGTCGAGGATATAATACATGAAGGAGAAAAGGGAAACACGAGGAAAAAGTATGGAAAGGGAATGGAAGAACGAGAGCAAAGGGTCAGGGGAGATTTAGATAGGGATGAGGAAGAGGCGACATCGGGGATTCCACGCTGCTGCACAGCACAGCGTCTGTTTTCACAGTGGGCGGGGCGGGCGGGGGGGTGTGGCTACGCAGAAGTCACGTGGTCTACGGGAGATTCGAGACCGATGAAGTTCGACGTTTCCGGTCCATGCCCACAGCAGGTCATGTGCACCGATTGAAACCTGTTTCTCGAGGCACGCTGTTGGTTACCAGTTAGGGTACGCCGGTTTTCATTGTCGACGTCGGTTTTTTTTATTTCCCCAAAAAATAAATCCATGAGACGCGCTTAGAACTACGCCGAGGAAGAGTGACACTTAGATTCGAGGACATACACGGGCTAGTTAGACTGTTGAGGAAGGCGGTGTCTTCGCCCAGGCTGAGATTCGTGGTTGGATGACGGCCGGTGGACCGGTGAGCGACGCTCGTGACTCAGCCGAAGCCAAAATGAGTTCACAAAAAAGACCACGTGGAGTAAACGGAGCGGTGGCATCAGAGGCGCTCTCGGTGGATGTATTGCATCGCAAGACAGCTTGGGGAGGAGGCCTTCAACACAACAGTGGATAGACCACGGCTGATTGCAACGTGAAATAAGAGCTGCATCGCTCATCGGATTCCACCAGTCTGAAGGTTCCGATTGTGAATCGATTCTGAATTTTTAATCGATTCTGTATACATCGTGTGTATGTCCAGGTAGTCCCCGAGTTACGGTGGTCCGAGTTACGATATTTCGATCTTACGATGGCGATAGCGATAAAATTGCCATCAACAACCCCATATCGTTCAAGTATGCAGACAACGGACAGAATCTTGGTGAGTACAGGACAATATGATACGTTACGATACGTTCAATGCATGTAAGATAAGTAGCTTTAGCGATTTCATTTTAAGGTTACCACGATACGATCCGTTCAATGCATGTTAAAAGTTTTTATAGCAGATAGGATTGTTTCCTGAAAAAACGTTCTATTAAATTGCAGTTCATATAGGTAGGCTAAGAATTTACCTTGTTTTTTTTACTTTAAATTTGACTGTGCAATACAGTATTGTAATTAGTAAATACATACAGTATATAGTTTATACAGTACGGTACTGTAAATTTCTCTGTTTTGTTAAATTATCATCATTCTTTAAGACTCCTGGGGAGGCGATAGGCCATCTTCGACTTGCGATGGGGTCGGCCGGAACACATCTCCATCGTAAGTAGAGGACTGCCTGTATGCATGTATCGAATCGCGTGTGTGATTAACGTACTTTCGATTCACCGTACTATATAACGGTAAAAGGGAATCGATTCGTGAAATCGCTAATCAGTTGTGAATAACAAAAGTGTCGATTCCTCATCGCGATTCTTCCAGCTTCTGTGGTAAGCGTGTGTGCCATCTCTCGCTCCCGTCAACATTTGTGTGTTACAATTCTACTGCTGTGATTGCCATTATTTTTCCATTTAGTTATTTTGAAACGTTCGTAATGGGCAGCTGCAGTGAAGAAAATGCGGGAAACGTGCGTTCTTAATCAAGATTCAATTTTAAAATAGAAACGTGTGGCCTTGGCCAGGCTTCAGGCCTAGGCGCATGGGTCTCATTACCATTGTTATAAGTGTAACTTATATAATGCGGTCATCGACTTACGAACGCACGTACTTACTAACCAGCTTCTATGAAATATTTTTAAATATATATATACTACATTGATTTACAACGCGAACTCGCAATTGCAAACTGAACCGCGTAACTAGTTTGTGCAGAGGAGCGATCATCGGCGAGCTGTAATGAGTCGGCCTCGCGCTGGTAGTGTGCGTGTGTGTGTACATGTGTGTACACGTGTGTGCGTGTGTGTACACGTGTGTGCGTGTGTGTACACGTGTGTGTGTGCGTGTGTGTACACGTGTGGTGTGTGCGTGTGTGTACATGTGTGTACACGTGTGTGCGTGTGTGTACACGTGTGTGTGTGTGCGTGTGTGTACACGTGTGTGTGTACGCGTGTGTGTGGGGAGCGGTAGTGTAGCCGTTAGCGCGCTGCACTATGGACTTGGCGACCCGGGTTCGATTCCCGCTCACGGCCAACACCAGTGACGATTATCTGAACCGGTCCTGGGCCTCCCCTAGGTCGACTCGGTCTTAAATGAGTACCTGGTGCGGTGTGTAAACATTGCCACTGAGGAGACAAAGGCGGTCGGGCGTGGTGTTGGCCACCCACCCCCTCGTGTGCCGTGCCGGCCTTAATAGGTGCTCGCTAACAGCACTTGCCCCTACAGTCTGTTAAGGCTATACGGGGATCTTTGTCTTTTGTACATGTGTGTGTGTGTACATGTGCGCGTGGGGACACACGGGCTAGAGAAGAGATGGAGTGGTTTGGTCCATGATGACGTGGAGTTGAGTGGACTTGCCGGTGACTGGTACCAGCAGTGTCTCAAGAAGTGTCTCTGTGGAGGAGGCTCGTGAAGGACGCTCCTGGGCAGTGCCAGGCTAGGTGCACCGTGAGGCTAATGGGAAGTTTGAGGCAGTCTCCCTCCAGCTACAACGGAGGCCAGAGGAGCGACGCTCACAACGAGCGGAGCGCCGGGTGGCTAAAAGACAGCAAGTTGGCACAGTAAGGGGCACAGGTGGTGCATCGGCCAGTCGTCTAAGTCGGTCAACTTATGGGTCTGCCCCGTGATCTGCCGACGGCTGTTCGACACTTCACGTGGCCTTAACGTGCACATCGCCTGGCACAAGCACTTAGTGGCGAATGGCGGGTGTTGTTGTTGTGGGGAGCTCCTCCAGCAGGCAAGGCTGCGTTGGCTGGGTCATGTTGCCCGCATGCCCAAGCAGAGGGGGCTAAACGGGCACGACATGGGCTGGAGAAGAGATGGAAGTTATGCGGTACGGGAGGATGTGGAGCTGAGTGGACTTACTGACGACTGGTATTGGCCGTGTCAATATTGGCTTCGATGGAAGAGGCTCGTGAAGGATGCTGCTGCTGCTGGGCAGTTGGAGGCAGTCGCCCTCCAGCAACAACGGAGGGCAGATGAGCGACGCGCACAACAACGAGCGGGGTGCCGGGTGGCTAAAATGCAGCAAATTAGCACAGTGGTGGGGGGGGGGGGGGTACAGCTGGTGCATCTAACCGGTCATCTCCGTCAGCCAACCCATGGCACCTGGGTTTGTCCCGAGACCTCCTGTCAGCGAGCCTTTGACACTTCACGTAGCCTCAAAGTGCACTTGGCCTGGCACATGCGCCATGGTGACGTCCCCGTCACTTACTGGCGAATGGCGAGTATTGGTGTGTGGGGAGGGGTAGTGTAGCGGTTAGCGCACTTGCTCTCCGAACCTGCGACCCGAATTCGATTCCCGCTCACGGCCAACATCGGTGACGATTATCCGAACCGGTCCTGGGCCTCCCCTAGGTCGACTCGGCTTCAAATGAGTACCTGGTGCGGTGTGTAAACATCACCACTCGGGAGACAAAGGCAAACGGGCGTGGTGTTGGTCACCTACCCCCTCGTGTGCCGTATCTGGCCTTCATAGCCGCTGCTCGCTAACAGTGCTTGCTCCTACAGTCTGTTAAGGCTATACGGGGGGGATCTTTGTGTGCCCGTGTGTGGGGAGGAGCGGTAGTGCAACGGTTAGCGCGCTGTGCAACCAACCTGGTGACCAACATTCAATTCCCGCTCACGATCAACACCAGTGACGATTATCTGAATGGGACCTGGGCCTCCCCTAGGTCGATTCATCCCCAATTAAGTACCTGGTGCGGTGTTTAAACAGCGACAAAGGCAGCTGGACGTGGTGCTGGCCTCTCACCCCACGTGTGCCGTGCCGGCCTTCATAGCCGCTGCTTGCTAACAACACTTGCCCCAACAGCCTGTTAAGGTCATACATGGGATCGTTGTCGTGATATTAATTTTGCGTTGTCCACATTTGTGTAGCTGAGCCTCTCTGTATTGCACAGCATGGATTATATATGGCCTGGGATATGCCGTGGGAATCTGTAATTTCCATCACTGGCCCAGGTCTGAACAGGAGATGCCACTGCATGGCTGATTTAACCAAGTAGACATTTTTATATTGAAAATGTATTCGCAAATGTTTCATTTGAGTTATTTGACTAATTGTGTGCTTCATTGAACCACTCTATAACATATTGTCGATGACCAAATCGCCTGGAACAATGCCAACTTTGTCAAATCTCGAAAGCTAAGCAGTATGGAATCTGGATAGTGCTTTTTATGGGCAAACACCATGCACATGTCGCTATAAGCTGCGTGGCTACGTGGATGGGCAGTGCAGCAAAACCCATTTGCTTTCTGCATTTTTTTCTTCCACGTCTGTGCTGTCTGACTTTCACCGCAGGACCTTGGAGATATGGATTTATCGGGGCTAACAATGACCCAAGTTGTGCTTAGTAATTGTGTGTCGCAGGCCGTTTACGAGTGATCGCTTGAATTTATCGTTTCCAGGCCGGTGCTGCCGAGGTTGACACATTGAGAGGCAGCGCTAACCGGAGCTCCGTGCCGGGCCATGGCGGAGAGCGACGATGAGTACGACCGGCGGAGGCGCGACAAGTTTCGCAGGGAGCGCAGCGACCACGACAAGACGCGCGACAAGGACCAGCGGAGGAGGAGTGACGCCAGCTTCAGGTGCGTCTCTCTCAAACACAAACCACGGACACGTTTTAACTTCTCCGATTTGCATATTTTTTTATAATTACGTTTGCAGCCCCTTCTGTCAATCCGCTGACGGACGAGGGCCTTTCCACACCTTGCGGGGTCATGAGGGTTGGTTAGTGCAAGTTGGTGAAGGCGGGGGAGCATAGACGTGGAGGGCATAGAAGTACAGTACAATAATGATTTTTGCTCCACTGTCACCTGCTGCCCACCACCACTTCGTGGTTGTATGAATTACCAATTGCATCCATAAGTGTAATTATACATCCATTCTCCCCTCCATACATTGCAGTGAATTGTAAAATCTGGGTCAAGTTTAGTTTCAACAATAAATTGTCTTTTGTTTCATTTTTTCTGCCCTGCTATTGAAATATGACGCCTTATTTTATTAATCTAAATTCCATATTTTGAGTGAATTTTCATTAAGTAAATATTATGAATATGATTTGGTGGAGACACATCATGAGTGACATTTTCTTAATCGTATAATCCGAACTTTCCAATAAAGAAATTTATTTCTGGAATTCTTATAGTAAAGCCAGGGGTCACTTCATTCAATTGGCCTCTCATCTAATCCTAGATTGCATCCCTTTATAAATAAATACCTAAAAATGAAAAATCATTCAACGCAATTTCTAGAACTGAAATAAAATCAATTTGATGAGTGATTAATGCTTTTCCATACTACTGAATGTTTTTTTTGGTGGGCCTAATTTCAGCATGGAGCCATATTTGTCGGCGAGTAAATGTACTTTTTTGTTTGTTTAAAAGCTACAATGCAAAAATGAATGATGTCTTTGACCACTTTGTCCCCGCCGTGCAGTCGGGATCATCGTAAGCGAGAGAGCGAGAGGGACAGGGGCCGCAAGGAAGACTACCGTGACTACGACCGCAATCGATGGGAGAGATACTCTCCCCGACATGAAATCAGCCCCCCACCCAAACGCATGCGGAGAGAATGGTGAGCACTTGATTGTCCCATTACCTCAATGTTACACACTTAATATAACAATAACATAGTGTACACAACCCTCTGTTCGGTGAAGGTCTTCCTACACCGTGGTGGGGCTTTCTTTGCATTCACATTGGTCACTGTGGGTTGGTGAAGGGGTGGTGGGGAGGTGGTGGGTGCTATTTCAGTTGTTACTTCCTACTGATGTTCGCCATGGCTGGGAATCAAACTCGGGTATCCAGGTTCATGGTGCAGTGTGTTAACCACCGTCCCATCCGTTTCACGCTTGACAAAGCTAAAATGGCTCTTGGCACCGTTAAGGCCCCACAGAATGGGTGTAGGACATAATTTGCATCTACTTTTCAATCATGGAATAGGGTGTACTGCTTTTAAAATATGCCTCCATTTAAAAAGTACTCGTTTAAATGTTGGTCAAATTTCTAAACGTCTTTTAGTTTCAAGTTATTTAGGTGAAATGTGTCAAGACTTTCAGTGCTCCTATAATTAACCCAACCTACGACTTTTTTTATTAACTTGCAGCTTAAAATTGCGGTTGCACTTCTTTGTTTTGCTGTATTGGGTGGCAGGTTGCAAATTAATCAACGATTTTCATGGCAAATCCTGTTTCATGTTAATAAGTGGTAAGAAAGTATTGTCTCATCGCCTCCAGTTTGTGAAGGCAATTTGTCCAGGTGGATTAACTAGCTGGAATATAATGTAGCAATGGCTTAATTAAATCCTTTTCACCAGATGGGTGCATACAGACCCCATGCATCTTTGCAAAATAAATGCTCTGGTGGGAGCCCAGTAATGTCCCACCATCATCGCATTGCTTCATTAAAAATAAATTTTTTAATTAAAATTAATACTTCACCACAGGTCAATTTCACAATGAACAACACATTTTCATCCTGTCACAACACTTGAGTCATATATTGCTGTTGTACATTGGTGAGTGAGGGATCGCTGAACCGTGTCACGTGATTTAATGATTTCGTTCTATACGGTCTGTGACATTTGACACGAGTTAAAAAAAACAAAGCAGTACAGCAAATTGTGCACGAATAGCTTTGCCTTCTGTACAGGATCGAGTGTTTCTCCCTCACATGCGTGGTTTTTTCTTTGAGATGTCCAGTTTCCTGCCATATGTATGAACACTCATTAAGTGTCTGAAAACATCTTCATCTATTGAGGACCGCAGAGCTTGGACAATTGTCAGCTCGCTCACCACGTGACTGCCAATCTCTTGTAGAGAGAGTGCGAATTCTGTGCAGCGCGTTACAATTAAAAAATGATTATGGGTGACTCACTGTGGACAGGTTCACGCTAAGTATTCGATATTGACCTCGTGCACGTGTCTCTGCCCTCACAAATGTTTCCTCTGCAGGGAAGAGAGACCCGTGGAGCCGTATCGCCCACCCTACGACTTCCCAGCCGCACCTCAGCACTTTGTCCCCCCGTGGGGACACCAGGAGATGCACCCCATGCAGCACCACGGCATCCCTGTGCATGCCAGGTCCCTATGCAAACAACACACAGACACATGTAAACGCATACATACGTACACAAACAGACACAGTGCATAGGCACATAACACACATGTTGGCGTGTAAATAAACACACAGGGGGACTTTCATGCACATGAACAAAACACACATAAATAGACAAATATCTCAATTGTCTTTAATTGACTAATGGGGAAAGTGCAGTTAGCGAACGCATATGAAGGCTGACAAGACTGCGGGGAGATGTGTGGTGGGCAGGAAAGGGTAGGGCAGCCAAACAATTGTTGTACTGTTTATCAGTGGTCCCAGGTTTTCTTCCTACTTTCACCAACCTGCACTGAATTGTGAAATTATTGCCAAGCTCCACGTCCCTTAAGAGTGTGCGAAGGCCCTCCTCCAACAGTGACTTTATCAAAGGGCTGTGCATACATCGAGTCATTGATTGAAAGACATTCCACGTTCATTCACAATCCATCCGGTTTTCACCTGCTATAGCACGTTTAATAAAAACAATGGCTGATGATGGGTGAGCCAAAACCAGTGTTGGAATATGAAATGAAGCACACAATGCATTCAATAGGCCATTGAATAGTGTCGTATGCAGAGTAATGACTGGTTACAGGAAGCAAGCTCGCGGAATGACGGAAAGTTGCAGAACTAGGGTTTGTCTCACCGCATTTCGACCATATTTGTCGGCAGGCTTGGCAACATGCCGCCGGAGATGGAGATGCCGCCCCCTCCGCCAACCATGAAGTCTTTTAAGGAGTTCCTTGTGACTCTGGATGATGCCGTCGAGGAGACCGAGGCCGTGAAGCTCTACAGTGAGTACAAGCAGGAGTTCCAGCAGCAGCAGATGCAGGACTTTTTCCTGGCGCACAAGGGCGAGGAGTGGTGAGTCGTCCAAACACACACGCCCGCCCGCCCGAACGCTCGTTTGCCCGCTCTGCACACTTGTTGAGTGACGTGGCGGTACCCTTTGCCGGTATCTATATATTAGGCGATCGTAAAAACGAAGTGGCCGTGGGTGTAATCATTAGTACTCTGGACTTGTAAACCAGAGGGCTGCGGTTTGAGTTCCTGCCGTGGCAGTTAAAACAAGGCGCGGGTTTCTGAAATTCCCTCCACCTCTGTTCACCCAGCAGTGTAAATGAGAACCCCGCAATTGATGTTGATCTGCAGGTCCACGTGGTGGGATACACAAAGCAAATACATAACTACCTGCTTGAAGGGCTCTATGCAGCTCCCTCTAGTGTGGATGCCTTTCCGCCAGCAGTGGAGTGAGCAAGGAATGAAAGGGCTACACCTTTTACCGTGAAAACTATCCGGCTGATTTATTATGAAGTCATCTCCGCTGCCGAGCTGAAAAGAGAAGAGGGCCTGTGCCTACAGAGGCAAGTGCAGTGGTGTGTCATGTGATCCTTCTCTTCTGCAGAGGAGGACTTTCAAGTCCCCACTGCAGTGTCACAAGATGACGCCTTGGACTCACATTGATTGAATAAAATGTCGTGCAGCTCGGATTATTTAAAGGAAGATGCAACCCAAAAACTAAACCAAAAAGCTCTACTCTTGCAGACATGTACCCATTCTCTTGTGTCCCAGCATGTCCAACACCAGTTTGAAGGTTTCTTCGTAGAGAAATACTTTAAAGTTGATTGCAGGCACACCATAATAGCGTTTTAGTGACATCACTTTGATGTAACTTCCTTTAAAATTTGCATCACTGAAAACAACGTCGGTAAAGTGGCAGTTTAACGCCAGCTTTCAAAGTGCCACTTTACTATGTATACAAGTCACTTTTAATATATATATTTTGTAACGAAGGCTTTGAATGTATGCTGGACAGCATGGGACACATTTTTTATGCCTCTACAATATCAGAGCCACTTGTGTTTTGGGTTTTCAAGAAGATGGATATAAAAACGCATTTATATAATTTAAGCTTGAACACAGTTATTTTTATACTGTCCAAAGTATGTCGACTTATTTGATTTGCTTTTAAAAATAAGCATTTGAAAGTTTATATGGATAAGTAATGTTGCATGCCTTGCATAAATGTTACTTTTTTTGTTTACAGATACTGCCTTAAAATTGTCAATTAGAATTATAAAAATGTTAAATAATTGACAGCACTAGTTGGCATTGTCAATTGTACTCACATTTTTAGGGCAGTCTTGGATACTGTTCCGAATATTACACAGATGTAATACTGTTCCTGCTTCTTGTTCAACAGCCATTTGTGAATGTGCTTTTCTGACGCAAAGAGCAGTAAGATAAATTGCCTTTGGATAATTTTGTTTTGGTTTGTCGAAATTGGTGCATAAATTCTAATTTACGAAATTTGTGAGCATCTCTTTCACGGTGCTGGGCAGCCTAATTCTACCGTCGTGCGGAGATGTCTCATTCGAGATAAGATAACTAAAAAGACACGGCTGCAATGTAAAATGTGAACAGCAGCCAACTCGAGGCTCTGTGTGTTACAGCGGAAGCGGTGATGTTTGTTTTGATGCCTGTGACTAATTTGCATTTGAACCTAATTCTTTCCCCCCTTGAAGATCAAGGTGTCGACACCAGCCAACGGGACGCAGTGTAATGATGTCTCTTCCACTGGAGCACGTAGCGTAGCTTTAGGGTCCTCTCCCCAACGCTGCGCACAATGCAGTGTTCAGACTAGCCTGGCTAGGGCGCAAAGTGTCGTCGGCAGCGCGTTAGCAGTCGGACGGCCACTCACGCTAGCGTTTCCTTTGCCCTGCGAACAATGCAGGGCGCTAAACCGTAGCTCCCACCTCAATACGTTCACTCCACGTTTTACTGTTTGTCCTTCCTCTGGCGCTGTGCTCAACGCAGCGCCGGTCCCCCGATCTCCAATCTTCCTTAAAAAAAGCAAAAAAACAAAGCCTGCGCCCCACCGAAAACCCGTAGTGTGTGGCCGATTGCCTTCGTGCAGAGCTAGCGTTGTCTTTCTGAGCTCATGCCCAGCGAAGCACATCTGCACTCACCCCGGTATTGCTCCCACTCATAAGTACGACACTCATGAAGGGAATCAAATGTTAATTGACAAATGACCACAGACTTTTTAACAGCTCAGTTGTGCCATGTGTTACAATTAATTTCACCCACTGATGCTGTAATCACATTTACATGTGCTGTTTTCCAGTAAGCTATGATACATCGTTAAATTTGTTTATTTTATATTTTTTGTTAAATTGAGTTACCATGCATTTATGAGCAATTTAAAATGTTGAAAGTGACACAAATAGATTTACTTGATTGTATTAAACTTGATTTACACACGAAGACAATTGCATACAACAATTACACATTTACAGTGATCCATTTGAATTGCACACCATTGAACAAATTGAATCTTAACGTTTATACTTTACTAATTTATGAACGGCAGTTGTATTGTTTGGACCAGAACAAAAAAATCGCATTGTCTCAAGTGCCCTTCTCCTCTTCCCTTGTGCTCCTGCGTGCGCTCGCCCGCACACGCCGATGCCGTGCGCTCGCCCCGCGTGCACGCGCGCCGTCACTGCAGGTTCCGCACGCGCTACCACCCGGACGAGAGGGAGAAGCGGCGGCGAGACATCATCGCTTCGGCGCGCCACCGCGTCGCCGTCTTCTGCATGCTCAAGCAGCACAAGTGGCTGGACAATGTCACGCTGGATCTGGACAAGACCGACCAGATCGCTCACTTCCTCGATGCTGGTGCCCAATCACTTCACTCGCTTGCTCGTCCTGTCCTGTCGGGCGGCGATGACGTTCAACAATGTCACTTTTTAAAGACGATAAAAATCTAAATAGATGTATCGGTCATAATAGAAGTTTTTTTGGGTCAGATCGTGTAAATATATAAATGTGTCGCTAAAACCCGCCACCTTCCCGACATAGCCACAACTAGTAAGGGTTGTCACGTAAACAGAACGTGCTAATCCGTCACTAGTACAGCACGAACCGGTGTGTTGGAGAGCCAAGCCACAACATTTACAATCTGACTACGACTTTTCGCCAGTAATTACAACCAGCTTCATCAGGCGACAGCCAGATTTGGCCGTACCTACTCAGACCGTAGACTTAAGACTTCCACCCAAACGCAAGGTTAAGCTTCCACACCTATCTGTCGCGACTTTAGCACCGTCAAATTGCTGTGATATATTGCATGTTCCCTTTCCTGGCGTGCTCGAGACTTGCATGGTGACGGTGACGACGTTACCCGCGTAAGCGTGTGACCGACTCGCGATGCGATTTTTGTCTTTGCGCGCACAGCTTCGATGCTGATGGAGGGCGGCACGGCGGAGGATCTGAAGGCCCTGGAAGTGAAGGAGGAGCCGCCGAAGCCGGTCATTCCGCCGTGGGTGCCCCTGGGGATCGTGCCACCGATGGTTGTCAAACCTGTGACCCCCACCCCTAAAGCGAGCGTGGTGGAGCCTCCCAAAGAAGAGAACGTGGCCCCAGACATACCCAACAAGGTGCCCGTCTGCTCTGAATGGGTTCCTATGTTTAAGAATGAATGCCTCTATTTGACAGATCTGCGCCACGTTGATGGACGGGAGTACGTAGCATTCTGACGCTATGTGCGAATTAATTCTCAACAGGCCACTTTGAGAATGCTGCTGTCAGTCTAATGATTGTGTGGGGGTTGGGGTTTTTGTCTAAATGATGGGCTGTAACAGCCACCATGACAAGTTGTGACAGTCGAGTAGAAAAAATAAACGTAAGCAGTCACTTAAGAGCCTGTTGACGGTTGAGAAAATATACTTCAAGAGATTATGCATTTTCCACGGCCCCCGAATCGTGACAATCGAAAACATCAACATCTATGTATCTCTTGTAAGTGGGGCAAATCTACCCTTATCTGTGAACCACGACATTAACTCGTCCTTGTGAAAACAACTGAACTTATTCCCCTCTATATTCCAAAATGATTGTCTAAAAATAGTCGTACCTCGGTTAACAGTGACATCGACTCGCGGTTTTTCGGTTAACGTTTTGCCTCGTAGGAGCCCCCATGGTTTCGACTAACGTTAACATTTTGACTAACGGTGTGTTTACGTTATGCACGCGGGTGCCAATTTTGGCCAATCCGAGCGCTCGTAAGTGAGCTGAAATGCCTCAGCCAATCAGCGACGCCCATTCTCGTTTAACCCTTGATTGGCTTTGTTTACATTTTACTTTCTGTTCTTGCAAAAACTAACAGTTATTTTCGTAAACAGTTTTCGTAGAACGGATTAAAAACGTTAACCCGAGGGACTACCTTCTATTTTCGTATTCCAGTTGAATTGGACCTTTTATCAGGAGCATCCCACGTTTAGATGTTTGACTCATGTTTGGCCAAACTGGAGTGTCGGGGAAAAACCTCCATATATAAAAGACAGAATATCTAAATGATCCGCACAAATGGGCTGACAAACATACTTCCTGTACTAGCATCCCCTGGCCACTTCGCATTTGAGAGTCTCACAAATCCACAAGGTCCACCAACCCTTGCCTCTTTGAGGGCTGGTTCACAGGCGTGTGTGTCGCCGCGCTCTTACCCATCACCTTCACCTCCTCGCCGTGTGTGTGAAGGAAGGAGAGCCAGCTGCTGCGGCCTGAGATCAAGGAGGAGGCACCAGATGCTGTGGAGGAAAAAAAATCCCCGGGGGAAGATGCCAAGCAGAGTTCCTCACCGGAGGCATGAACCATAAAACTCGCGTGTAGAGTAAACACAACCACAGCAACAAGGCGATGCAGAGTTGTCTATATAGCAGGAGCGAAGGTTTACATAATTGTGCATGACAGATGGCTATGATTGGTTTATAGCGTGAAAGCCGGAGCTTTCTTTGCCATCTGACGACGTTGGTTGGCCGTCGTGTGTTAGGGCTTTCGCAAGCAAGCGTGGTGGAGTAAGAAACTATTACAATCTTACCCCAAAAAAATATTATAAATCACAATCTTGGTCGTGAAAGTCTTCCTGTTAAATTTAAGACTCTATCATTCTTCATTTTTGGATGTTATTGCTCTCTAAATTCTCAATTTACCAGAATGTAAAAAATGAATAATTTATGAACACTAGTAACCTCAAATAATTGACAGTTCATCGGATTACAGAGACGAGTGAATGGTTACATCTGCACTGGATATATAAACCGTGTGAGTGTCGAACGCCTGCATGTGTGGCAGGTGGCACAGTTGGTGCGTCTGCCAGTCGTTTCCATCAACCCATGGCACTTGGGTCTGTCCCTTGACCTACCAGCAGGCGTTCGGCACTTCACGTGGCCTTAAAGTGCACATAGCCTGGCACAAGCGCCGTGGTGACGTCACCGCCATTTAGTGGCAAATGGCAGTTGTTGTTGAACCCAGGTGCTAGAGAATCTGCTCATCGCTGAACGTCTCGTTCTTTAGAAGGAAACGAGGAAACGTAAGTGTTCCCGAGGGTCTGAAGAGGACGAGGATGAGGGAATAGAGGAGGAGGAGGACGGGATGAGCTCTTCTGAATCGGAGGCGGAACAAACAGCTCCCCCCATCAAAGAGGAACCGTCGGACGGCACGCCTCCCGGTGAGTGGGTGAGAAGTGGGGCACGCACTCGTCTCGTTTGCCCCTGGGCGTGATGTTAAATTGCCCTTATTCTGCCTTGCTTGTTTTTCATTGCGACTCGCCGTTTCCGAGTTTCAGATGAGGAAAAATCCAAGGAGGAGAAGGAGGAGAGTGTGGAACCGGAATCGGTGAAAAGCGTCAAGCAGGAGCAGGAAGAGAGCAAAGAAGAGTGTTCTGAGAAGCCCGAGGAAGAGCCCAAGGAAGAGCCCAAGGAAGAGCCCAAGGAAGAAACGACGAAGGGGCCTGAAGAAGAGCCCATGGAGGTATCCACGGAGGAATTGAAAAAAGAATCCAACGATGAACCCAAGGAGAAATCCAAAGAAGATCCCAAGGAGGAATTGAAAACAGAATCTAAGGATGGACTCGAGGAAGAATCCATAGAAGATCCCAAGGAGGAATCCAAGGAGGAATTGAAAGGAGATCCCAAGGAGGAATTGAAAGGAGATCCCAAGGAGGAATTGAAAGAAGATCCCAAGGAGGAATTGAAAGGAGATCCCAAGGAGGAATTGAAAGAGGAATCCAAGGGTGGTGAGCCCAAGGAGGGATCCAAGACCGCGGGGGAGAAGCCTGCAGAAGCAAAGGTGGACTTTGTGCTGAAGAGGACTCCAGAGCAAGGTCTCCTGCCGAGGCCACGGAACTTCCACCGAAACATGTCCATCTTCCTGCGGAACATCGCGCCGTACATCTCCAAGGCAGAGATTGTGTCGGTGCGTGTGGGGGGGGGTGGAACGCACTTAGTCAGTCCCAGTCTCTCTCGCTCGTACCCGTCGCCACCACCCCGCCTACCCGCATTGCCGTGTTTCACCTTGCCTCTGCTAAGTACAGACCTGGCCTCAATTCCTATCGCAGTGGTGTAATTTGTAATTAATTGCAGTGACCCTGTGATTGTAATATCATCTAACAGTCTAACCTGGAATTGTAATTCTGATTGACTGCATGTCTGCTGCCAACACTGCTAAAGTAACACCATTAACGCAGCCTTATCTCTCCTCGACTGTAAATGTATGAATTTCACGCTAAACCTCCATGTCACTGTTAGAAGACCAGTCACTCAAATGATGTAGGTCTTTTCTCTCTGAAAATGTGCCCGTTTTTATTTTTACTTCACATCACAATCAATTTGAGTGACATATCTTCTTAGGTTTTTTCGGTTAAGTCACGTAAGTAAAACATCAAAATAAAAATAAAATAAAAAAATAAAAAATCACGACGTTTCGGAGGCAACACAAGTCTCCGTCATCAGGTGGGACCGTCACAGCCGAATTAGCTGCATCAAGTGAAGCAATGATTCAAGATGTAATCCCTTATAAGCAAGTTGAAGGGAGGTGGAGAGGGGGGGGGAGAGCTTATCAGATTGTGGTAGCCAATGAATGGAAACGTATCGGGAGGGAGGAGGAGCGGCGATCAAAGACTGCACGCAGTGCTCAACACAATGAATGGAAACGTGTCGGGACGGAGGGTGCAGTCTTTGATCACCGCTCCTCCTCCCTCCCGATACGTTTCCATTCATTGGCTACCACAGTCTGATAAGCTCTCCCCCCCCCCCTCTCCACCTCCCTTCAACTTGCTTATAAGGGATTACATCTTGAATCATTGCTTCACTTGATGCAGCTAATTCGGCCTGTGACGGTCCCACCTGATGACGGAGACTTGTGTTGCCTCCGAAACGTCGTGATTTTTTATTTTGATGTTTTACTTACGTGACTTAACCGAAAAAACCTAAGAATATGAATCTTTGCAGTCACGAAAGCTTCAAATCTAGAATTGAGTGACATAGCTTACTGTGGTCATCTCAACAATCGTCACCCGTCGAAAAATATTATCCTAAACATGAATGTGGGGTTTTGTTTGTAAACCGGATCTTTGCTGCCGCAGTTTAATTGGGGAATAAAGTAGCGAAAACATTTTTGAGAAGAGAATGCAGACAAACTACCCGTGCTGCTCCCAAATCTCTCGCCGTCAGTCGTGGGAGGGAGCTGGCGGGTGCCGCCTGTGTGGGGGCGTGCGTGACTGAAGCGGGGGGAGTAACTTCTCGTGTGTGTGTGCGCGTGCAGCTGTGTCGCAGGTTCCCAGGCTTCATGCGAGTAGGCGTTGTCGGAGCCTCTGCCAGAGCGCGGGTAAACACACCCTCTGTTCGATTGCACTCGCTCACAACCGCCGTGTGAGAAGCGCCAATGTCTTGGGGCATCGCTGCCTTTTGACATTAATTGCATTTATTGGATGTAAACTTGCGTTTATTTCATAGCTCAGCTTTTACAACCAGTGCTATGATTTATAAGTCGGTTTTGCTTTTGGGGAGTTAGATCATGTAGGTATAATGTCAATTAGAGTTAAAGCCAATATATACCGGTTTCTTGATAAACTAAATCGGTTGTCAATCAACGACACAATCATCGATTTGTCGATCAAAATTGGCTTCTTACGTTGACCATCACGTGAGAGTCGATCTACATTTTATACAAATTAGGTGCACATTGCATGCTCGTGTTACATTTAGGCTAATGGTGCAAAATAAAACTACAAACGATAACAACAAAAACTTCGGGAATACAAAATGAGACAGTAAAAATTGAGATAATGATTTTCTAAGGTGTACTGTTCAAGACCGAACCCAGAATTGTGACAACTCGTCAAATCCCTGGTTGTAGGAGGGGTGGGGGGGAAGGGAGCTTTTGGGTTAATTATATTTCTAACTAACCATCACCACACAACCCCTGCCTCGCTCCGGTATAAATTACCGGGGATGTACACGACTTTTCCCACTGGATTGGAGTGCATTGCTTGCAGCAAGCGGTTAGCCATGACCGTGAATCTTACCCTTGTTTGTGCTTGGTGAGGATGCAACTGCCCTCTGTGCTGAAATGACTCGTACTTCTTGTGAACGGCTGAACAAAGGCGTGATTCGCCAGACCGGGAACGATTTGGCAGGTGCGCAGGTGTAAATGAATTGGCAAGGCGCTTGAAGTTACCGGCATTCACGCCTGCTGTCGCACTTAATCAGGGGCGTCAAACATTCAGCAGCACGCTGATGTGTTTGTTTTAAAATGCAATCAATCCTGTCTGCAAAACATCGAAACCAATCTCTTAATTGGTCATCTGTCTGTTTGCTCGTCAGGTTTTACCGGCGTGGTTGGGTAACGTTCAGCGGCCATGTCAATATACAGGACATCTGCTGGAACCTGCAAAATGTGAAGGTGAGAATGTACATGTCATGACGACACAATTCCGTTTAAAATTATGAGCACGACTGCCATACTCAAGAATCGAATAGTTTGCCTGTCGGCAAGAGACCCAAGCATAAACATCCCTACGGAATTGTTCACAACCCATTTGCTGAACTTGCGAGATCCTGGCCTCGTCACGACCCAGCGGGTTTGAGAATGTCAGCCCTCAAAAAAAGTGAGCGCCACGGTGACCTGGCTACGTACACCTTCATCCTACGCCTGCCCCCGCTTAAACGACCTTTTAATAATTGAGTCTTTTACTCGTGCTTTCCAGCACCTTCTCGGAATCTTTCATCGTAACCTGTAATTCCTGCCCCCCCCCCCCCCCCCCGTTCCCATCTTCCCCGTTTTGTCCCCGTTCTGTCCCCAGCTTCGGGAGTGCGAGCTGAGCCCCGTGGTGAACCGCGACCTGGCGCGGCGCATGCGCATCGTGAGCGGCGTGTCGCTGCACGCGACCGTCGCGCGCAACCACCTGCGCCTGGCCCTGAAGCTGGTGCACGCCCTGGACCGGCGCGCCAAGCTGTGGGAGTACAACGAGGGCACCACCATCCCGGTGAGCGCCGGCACGCACAGAGGTCGCTCCAGTCACCGGATATGCCGCCTCGTGTCATGTGCGGCAGGGACAGGGGGGGAACCTATTCTTTCCGGGGAGCTAAATAGAACTTTCATATTCCTTTTGGGGAGGGGGGGTGGTGGCGCATATAATCATCAACACCTTGGCGTTGTCTTAATTGTATTGTCAAAACGCATTTGTGTCAGCCGCCGAGAGTAAAGAAGCCGTTGCGGTGGCGTGACTTGAGCAGCGTGATAAATTATGAACAGTGTTGCTGCCCCATTGGAACCTCATTTGCCAGTAAAAAATATGATAATTGTTTTTTTACCCTTCTATCTGACAACAAAACTGACACCTTTTTTACAAGGAGTCATGTTTGTGTAGTGACATAAGAAGGGAGGGGCTGCTGGGGGCTCTGGGACCCTGAGTGGGTCAGACGCTTAAGCCTCTTGGCGTCAGGCGTTGAGTTCCCAGGCGCTTAATCCCCTTGGCGCCGCCAAAGGGGGGGGCTGTGTGTGCTCTGTGGGATATCTGGGGGCGCACACGGCCCCACCCCTCGTTGGGGACTGGGCATAAAAGCGGAGCTCCCTGGACGATCAGGGCCAGTCGTAGCTCAAGACCCAAGACCCAAGACCAGCCATCGGAGGAGCCTGGGACGCTGTGAGAGCCAGTGGTGGGACTCTGGAACTCCCGACTCTACGACCTTGTGAGGGCGAGTTCCAGAGCGTAGCCAGAGTAGTGTATCTAGGCTGTGTACCTAGGCTGTGTACCTGGGAGCTGTTACAGAGTATCAGGACTGTTGGACTGTTGGAGCGTTGGAGAGTTGGAGTGTTGAATCGTAATAAAGAAGTTACCTCTACAAGTGTCTCCGGAACCCGTTACATTTGCATAGACCACAATACCTGCAGTCATAATGCAAACAAAAAACATAACTCTGATAATGTATGCACTGTCCTTGAAGTTGATTGGTGTTGTTGCCCGATCATTGAATGTGTTCTTCTGCAGCAGACTATTAGTGCAGCTAATAAGATGTATGCATGTTGAACTTATTTCGTACCGTACATAGCCAACCGTGCTAGCCGCAGGTGCGAGGGAAAGACAACAAAAAGCCAATTTCTGGAAAGATGCTTGCACCGACTTGCACATCGACGTTGTTTGCCGGTCGTCTCCACGTGGCATTCCTCTTGTGGTCGCTTAGCTCTTGAAGATCAGGAGCAATGCAATCGGCAAGTAATCAATATGTCAAAAAGCAGGTGTTGATTTCGAACTGCGACGCACGCTTGCATATCAGCGGGCCGTTGACCGAGAGCCACGAAATCACGACAAGACCCGTTGGTGCGCGCGGCCGTGCGAGGCGCTTTATGGAGCGCGGTGTTGTGTGCTGCCCAGGGTACCAGCGACGGCGCTAACCCGCTGTTGGGAGGCCTGTCCAAGTACCTGGAGGATGGAAAGGTGAACGTGGATGAAGATGCTGCCAAAAAGGAGCAGGAAGCCGCGGTGGACCAAACCGCACCGGCGTCTGCACCGGCACCTGCACCGGCACCTGCACCGGCGCCTGCACCGCCGCCGCCACCACCGAACAAGGAATTCTTCCTTGAGAAAAACGAGGATCTGCTCAAGGTGAAACTTGCCTCTTGCAGGCATGGTGGGGGGGGGGGGCTCTTCTCTTTAGAAAAAGTCTCTAAATCGGTGGGATCGTGTCCGTGGTAAGAGGTAATTCTACCTCGTAATTATTTGCTTGTGGCGCTGCTGACGGGATGGCCTCCACTAGAGGGAGCTCTATCAAAAACCATGATCATTACGAATATAGTATTTTCTGGCTTATTCTTCATGCTAGCCAGTCAATGTCATTTTTATATGGGTCCTGATTTTATAGGTAAGACTACATTCATTTAACTTGTACTGTAACGTATTGCGATGCCCTCTTTAGTGGGGATGAGTTTTTACTAAAAAAACATTTGAATGAATCTTGGAAGAGGTGGGACCACCTCCACTCTACCCCACCACATACGAACTGGTGCTCAACTTTAATGCGGTGCCTAATAATGTTGCGGGGGGGGGGGGGTGACTATGGGAAACTTGCACCATAGTTTCACTGCCACACTGGGAGATGGACCCAAACCGATGGTCCAGTGCGCTCACTGTTTGCACAAATGGTAGAATCCCCTCACCTTGATGAAGCTGATATGTATGTATGTGAACTTTGGGAGTGCCTGATGAAAACCCATGTCTACGAGGGAATAACATTTCAACTCCGCATACAGGGCAGCAACCTATTTGCTGCTCTGCCTGCCATGGCGGGGCAGATGCATGTACGTTGAACTTATTTCGTGTACCATATTCTTTGGGTCTTTCGGTAAAGTCACCTAGGTTTAAAGAAAATAACAAAAACTACTGAAAGACCCAAAGAATTGGAATTATTTCGTACCGTACGTAGCCAACCGTCCTTATTGGAGGTGCGGGGCAAGGACAACAAACTAAAAACGCTAAAGCAGTTCTAAAGAAATTAGTTCTCAATCTAGATTTAAAGTGCATCGTTCCAGTGGCTTCCTAATATCGGAAGGAAGAGGCGTTCCAGACGGCCGCAGAAGCGCATCTGAAAGTGTGCACGATGCGGATCGATATCATGTTTGTCATCCTTCCCTGACACCTCCGATTAGCACGGTTGGCTATACGCAGTGCGAAAGAAGTTCACACATACATTCTCTCTCTCATGGTTATTCTAAGCAACATCATTGCAGGTTCTCTTTTTAAAGATTGCGACGCAAGAATCTCGTTTCGCGCTTTTTCTTTGCATCCTTGTGATTCAATTCTGATGTAAGTTCAACATACCTACATACGTGTCTCTGCCCCCCCCCCCCGCGCCGTCTCCCCCGGCCTGCCGACCCTCGCAGATGCTGGACCAGCTGCTGTTCTATCTGCGCATCGTGCACTCGGTGGACTTCTACAACCACACGGAGTACCCGCACGAGGACGAGATGCCCAACCGCTGCGGCATGGTGCACGTGCGCGGCCCCCAGCCCAGCAAGCTCAACCCCAATGAAGGTGCTCGTCCATTATAGCGTCACGGCATCAACACCGGCGGCACGCTCGCACACGCGTGTGTGAGCGGCGCGATCTTTGAGGGGGCTGGGGGTGGATGAATGAAAGCCTTCCCATGCCTCGTCTGTCATCATTTAAGGGTTGTTTGACCGTACTTCACTTTGGTCAGCGTAGGCTGATGAATGGGATTCTTGGTATATCACTCGCCGCTGATTTTGGCCGTGGCCAGAATTGGAAGTCGGGTCGCCGGCTTCATGTCACAGTTGCGCTAACCAGCCCCGATAACAGTCCACATTAATAACATTGTTATTGTCAACCACGTCACCGACAACTCTACGATCGTTCAACACAGCGGTGTCTTAACCCCACCCCCCTCTGACGTAATTCGTTTCTCTCCTTGTCCGCACGCTCCGCAGTGGCGGAATTTGAGCGTCAGTTTGAGACCAAGCTGCGGCCACTCTTCCTCCAGCGGGACACGCTGGAGGACGAGGAAGCCGAGGTCATAGGTCGCAGGGATCCCGAGCAGGAGGTGGAGAAGTTCATCTCGGCCAACTGCCAGGAGCAGGCCAAGGACAAGTGGCAGTGTCCCCTGAGCGGAAAGAAGTTCCAGGTGCGTTTGGCCAGATGTGTTGCGGAGCTTGTCGAACACTGCCGGGTAGCCGAGCGGCGGTCGTGTGAATGGCGCTGCACCACGCATGCACGCAGAGAGCGCTTTGCGTGTTGCCCAGAAGTAATGGCCACCACGCGCTGCACACTGTTGTCACTCACGCCTGGTTGCATGCACCCGCGCGTGTCGCGCAACTCGATTGCATGCAACTGAATCGCTTGTACGAGGACTTGTCTGCAAGCTGTTCCGAGCAGTTGCGCAACTGGTTGCTTCGAGACAGGCTTTTTTTTGTAGATTTGCTCGGCGATTTGGAGCAGACGTATTATATTGCGTGTTCTAAATTTGCGAGCTATTGTTTTTACAATGCTGAATGCGCCAATTAATTTCCTTGTTGTGCAAAGACTCTCTTAGATGTGGACAAAACTGCAGGCAGTTTTAAATGTTGCAAAGTTTTGAGAACAAATTGGTTGTGCGATTTGAGCAATCGTCTCTCGCAGTCCCAGGTCACGATTCGATTCCCTCGAGTCGAATCCGGGCTGGTGATCGCTGTGCACGTGCAGACTCGCAAACGACGAGCCCGGCCGACGCGCTTGACGCGGCGGCGTGGTCCTGCGTGTGCTGTGCGCCCAGAGCCCCGAGTATGTGCGGAAGCACATCATGAACAAGCACCTGGACAAGGTGGAGGAGGTGCGCAAGGAGGTGGGCTTCTTTAACAACTTCCTCATGGACAAGCGGCGGCCGCACCTCATGGAGCCACGCTTCACCATGTGCAACATGATGCCCGGTATGTTCGTTGGGCTCCTTTCGCACCGTACTTAGCCAACCATGCTGGTCGGAGGTGCGGGGGAAGGACAACAAACTAAACACACAAAGCAATCTTCAATCTAGATTCAAAAAGTGCATAGCTCTAATATTGGAAGTTACACGCCGAACTCGGCTCGCTCGCTCGCTGGCACTCGCTCGCGCTGCGGGAGGGATAGGGCCCGCACTCCCGGGCTGGTGGCACACGTCTGTGGTCCAGCGCTTGGGGAGGCACCGAGGATTAGTGGGTCGCAGCACAAATGTGCGAAACTCCCTTTCCTACGGTTGGCTACACACGGTGCGAAAGTAGTTTGCACCACCATACATACAAGGGGAGAGTTGTACAGCAAGTAGATTGATTTTCAGCTCAACACGTAGTCTTTCGTGACCAATATCCATAATAAAGTGGTGCTTTTTGGATTTGATGGCATAAATATACATTTGTCGATTCTGGCAAATCGCCTGATGAAGCTTGTAATCAGCCAAACGTCGTACTTATTGTAGATGTTGTGGGTTTACTGTCCAACACATCCGTGTGCTGAAGTAGTAACTAATTGGCACGCTTTGTTAACATGACAAACCTTACTAATTGGCTGTTTCGGATGGTGGCGGGTCTAACGACACATCTATAATTGATGCGATTTGACCCAAACAAAAGCTTTATTATGAATTGACTTTCATTTGAGCGTTACTCCCCCACCCCTCCCCTCCTGGCACATGTAGGTTTTCCTCCGGGAACTCCGGCTTCCTTCCACGTATATAAACGTTCGTTAATGGAGTTGGCTAAACATCCCAGTGTAATACCCACAGCACTTGGGCAGTCATTGGCACCGCACACAAATCACACGAGGCGCAACCATGCACGTGACACGCATTCTGATGATTAAGATTATGCTCGTTTACCCAAGAGAGCCTCGCTGAGTCTCAAGACTTTTGCAGGAGGGTCCTACCAAGTTTTCACAGTAGGGGGCGATGTTGCTGTGTGTGTTTACGTGCATGTTGACATTTTTTTTGCACCGTATGTAACGATGGGAGGTGTGGGGAAGGACGAAAAACTAAACACAAAAAGAAGTTCTCAAGAAATTCGATTTCAATATCGATTCAAAAGTGCATGGCTCCAAGTGGCTTCCTAAAATCCCAATTGAGTAATTGCGATCAAATGTCTCATCATTGCGTTCATTATATATACACAATTACAATATATTCTGACAGTGAAGTTGTCATTCTGATGCAGTTTACAAACAAAAAACGAACACATGTCTGTCTCCCAGGAATCTTCCCAAACCCCCAGGCTCTGATGCCCAGCTACAACTTCCAACGTCTTCCCATGCCTGCGTACGGAGGTGAGTGTCAACGTCGTCCCAATTATTGCTCACATTTTTATTGTTACGCCCAGTAAATAAGAGCATTAACCTGAACTATGCATCGAGCTCATCGTTTATGAGCTTCCGCATCCACCAATGCCATCCAGACGAGGTGCACATTTGACACTACAAGCCATCTTACCAACCCATATATATGAAGTTCATCACACTGCATGGGGGGGGGGGGGGGGAGACCTTTCGTGCACCAGTGGACTGACATACATACTGTTCCCTTGTGTAGTGTTCAAGCTAGCGTGGTGACACGGCCTTCTCGCATTACAATGCTGGCTCTCTCCCTGTTCTAACGAGGGTGCGCGTGCGTGTGTGCGCGTGCGTGCGTGTGTGTGTCACGCAGGGTCCCCGTACCCACCACCGCAGCAGCAACAGCAGCAGCAGCAGCCGCCTCCACAGTTTCCTCCTCGCGGGGGCTTCGACCCCTACCGGGGCCAGAGTTCCAGCCACTACATCAAGAGCAGGAGGTGCGAACACACCGTCACACACCACAGCCCCCCCGTCTTCGCACACGCCATAGAATGGTGTGCAGGTGTGTGTGTGTGGGGAGCAGGCGGCCGGGCATGGCGCTGGCCACCCACCCCCTCGTGTGTGCCTTGCCGGCCTTCATAGGTGCTACTGCCGAACAGCACTTGCCCCAACAGTCTGTTAAGGCTATACGGGGGATCTTTGTGTGGAGCAATGGCATGCATAGTGGTGTGGTTAGCATTGCACTGCAGCCCAGCGACCAGAGTTCAAATCCTGATCACGGTTAACATAATTTGCATATCTGAACCGGTTTAGGGCCTCAACTCAGCCTTCAATGAATGTGGTGTGTTAAACATTGGCGCCTTAAATGAGCACGGAGGAGACAAAGGCGGCCGGGATCGGTGCTGGCCACTCCCCACCCCCTCGTGTGTCTTGCCGGCCGTCATAGGTGCTGCTCGCTAAACAGCACTTGGCCCAACCATGTGTTTGATGGCTATGTGGTTGATTGTTGTTTTTGTTTCTTCCCTGCAGAGATTTCCGCCCAATGATTCAGTACACGGATTTGGATGCCCCCGAAGAAAACGATTTTTTCTGAAGCTCCTGCGCATCATGGACGTAATCAGTTCACTCCTACTCTTGCTAACTATTAACTAATAGTATGAACAATTACTATAGTAATAGTTAATACGAATAGTATAGCATCACAGCTATAACGTAGTCTACTACACCCCCATTGTCCATTACAGCGTCGTAGGCAGCTTGTCGTGTTGTGTTCGCTAATTCTGCCGGCCACGTTTATTCAAGTCAACCGTTTGTTGCGTGTGTTGAACATTAAAAAGGTGTAGTGTGTCGAACATTAAAAAAACAAGCAATGCGTTGCCGGGAGACCCTTGCCGGCTGTAGACGTTTCTTGTTGCTTCGATTGGTTCTTGCTTTGCGAGCAACACGGATTGACGTTGGTCGAGTGAAGTGGCCCAAGCGTGTTTTTGTTGTCGTTGCTTGGCCATCGTAAGATGGAAATTGAATTGTGAAACAATGCGTAGAATACTCAAGGCCGTTATATATATTTTTTTGCAGCGCAACGTAAAAAGTAAACAATTGTAACCGCTGTTGTTTTCTGTCGAGTATTCATTGAATGTCTGTCGCGGTTTGGATGTGAAAGTATTTTGCGGGCTGCGGGGGCGTTGGGAAGTGATGCAGCCCAAAGGGAGGGAAAACGCCCGAGAAGGCGTTCGGCTCGGAGATGGAGTGAGGAAATCAGCTCGACTGTGAGAGATGATCACTGCTTGCGGAGGCCTTCATCCAGCAGTGATGTGGGGCTGGGACGCAGGATTGGTGGATTGCGCCGAGATCACTTGCCCTACATCTGCATCGCGCGCTTTCAGATGTGCTTCTGCGGCTATCTGGAACGCTCTTCCTATATTAGGAAGCCACTGGAGCTATGAATTTTTTATCTAATTTGAAAATTATTTCTTTGGAACTGCTTTTTGTGTTTAGTTTGTCCCTCCCGCACCTCCGATTAGCACGGTTGACTATGTACGGTGTGAGAAAAGTTCAACGTACATACATCTACTTGCCATGGCAGACAGAGTAGCAAGTAGATTGGCCTGCATGCAAAGTTGAAATGTTATTCCCTCGTCGACATGAGTTTTCAACAAGCATTCCCAACTTGCGCGCAAAAAAAGAAAAAAACTAATTATTGTACTTCATAACAGTGTAGCTTCCTATTTTGCTGCTTGTAGATTTGTTTAAACGAAGGAGAACTTACAATTAGCGTATTTATCAGCCTCAACAGCTGGGACGCATGTGCTCTTGAGAAGAGGATCGGCACTTGATTGATGCAAGCCACTCGGCACAGATTGACGACCAACTTTCAACTCTCGACTTGTTCAAGCGACATTCTCCGTGCCCCCCCCCCCTCCCCGCTGTTCTCTTGTTTCCCAGCAGCTCACCCCTCTCCATCGCCAACCCCACCACCAACCTTTTCCAACCGCAGCGTATCAATCTTTCCAATGAGTCGTTTGCCCCCCCCTCCCCCCCCACACACAATTTAATGCGACGATCAAAAGAAGTCCCTGGCTTTCTTTTGGCTGACAAATGGGCGATCCGCCGTCAATTAGCATTCCCTTCGGAAACTTTCGGGGGCAGCTGTGTGGGGTTGCAGCTTTCCCCGTGGCAAAGTTGTGCGCCCTGTGCATCCCTGCCACCACCGATGTAAGGGGAAGCAGCTTTGCTTAACAAATAGCGGTCTGCTGTGCCTCTGGCTCCCAGCTGTTGGCCAGTTAAATGAATAACGGCAATATATATTAAAAATGTGTAAGCTAGTGGCGATAGCGTGGGTGTGGGGGTTGGGGGAGATTCATCCAGCAGTGGTTTGATCACGGCTGACCATGGTGTAGTCTTACAAATCTGTTCATGGCTGTACCGTGCAGTTTTTTTTTATTAACTTTTACAAAAGGACAGTTAGGTGATTTGGTTTAAACCTTTATGCCAGAAGGTCTTCCAGTAAAGAAAAAACAATTCATTAAAATACTAAAGGCAGATATGAGAGTTCCAATACCGCATTTGCAAAGCCAGTTATGTGGGATGGGGGGTACCATACACACAACGATGCAATGCCCGATCCACAAATATGAAGGAGACATCGCAGCGATGATACGCTCGACTGCTCCTGACGCGCTTAACTGGGCTTGGCCCCACTGCGAAGTTGAAGTCGTTGCTCTGTACCTACATCAGCCGCCGTCCAAAAGAAAAATCAGAAGTTTGCAAGGCAGTGGTGAAATAGCACTCGGGGCATGCACCCACGTTCACCTCTGGCTGCTGAGATTGAAGGCCGAGAGCCATGGGGACCACGCCAGCCATTGGGGTCACAAAAGACCGGCAGGAGGCCCCCTCTCTGCTGGGACGTCACCGCGTGGTGCCTACCACGTGGCCTGCTGGTGGCTCTGGCTTGGACATGCAGGAGAAAGTGCTTGCATGACAAATCTCCGCTCCCAGGAGGGCCATGTGACACGCCTGGGCTGGAGTTGGGGGTGGGGGGGTCTGCCTTGTGTTTCTCAAGTCGTGCTCCGTGGGGGGGGGGGGGGGGTGAAGGAGGGCAGCGTTTTGTTTTCATTGCAATAAAGCGAATGTGGTGTGCTGCGCGCGTCAATGTGTTTTTGAGTGCTTACACGTTTTTTATTCAGTCTGACCGCGATTGACGCGGGTTGTGTTTGCACCCCCTCGCCTCCGATCGTTGGGATGTGCGCGTTTTTGCTGGATCAGAGCTATGGATGCTGGGCAAAGCGCGTGGTAAGTGCGCCAACTATGAAGACCATTCGTGCACTGAGATGGGAAGGGGAGCGCATGGTGTTGAAGCTGGTTACATAACAGACATTGACTTAAGCAAACGTCTGCTTGATGCACGACATAATAGAGTTGATGGCCACTGGACAAGACGGGTGATGGAATTGCAGGCAAAGAAGGGAATGACCACACAAAACGGAGCGTTTTGTGTTGCAGGGGTGAGATGGATTGTGGCATCGCAGCGTGTGCCCGGACCAGATCATACTCCACGTATCGACATCGCCTGCAGTGTCGGTATCGCCTTCAGCTGATTACAAATTCTGCATGTGGACAACGGTGAAATATGTGATGACCAGGGCGTCACGTGATTAGATGTTAACTCCCTTGCCTGGTATGCAGGAGGGACGTGGGTTCTATCCCGACTGACGCCTGTTTGTGGTCGCGTCGATTATTTTTCCGGGTCCTCCGGTTTTCCCCTCCAAATTTAGAATCAACAATCGCGCGTTTCGAGTACAATAATGGTTGCGATATATTCCACGTGATCAGCCACTTTGTTGAGCTGTCGTTTGTGATACCCAGGTCGCTACGTAGCTCAGTGGGCCTTACCTGCTCAAATAATAATAGTTTGTGATCGTTTATTTGAAATGAGCGAGTGGGGTTAACAACGAGCGAACTCGTAGTAGTCGTCTAAATATATTGCTACTACCCAATGAAGATTTGCTTCATGGGATGGTACTGATTTTTGCTCCGGCCAATAGACTCCGGCGATAGTCCGGGGAAACCATCCAGCAGTGGGTAGACCACGGCGTATGACGGTAACGACATAACCACCTACACAATTTGTTTTGCATATGCTAATGGCTATCATACTGTTGGTATGCATAAACACTCATTCAATGGTTGAAAACATTTCTAATACACAGAGGACTGCAGAGCTTGGGAATTAAAACGTTGGAGCCAGTTGCCGCCTTCCAGCTGTTCTTCCGCGATCGTGATATTCAATTTGCATGCAGGACAATAAAGCAAACTCAACATTATTTGTTTTAACATATGACCATCATTGTTCATTCCATATAATTAAGAACAATGGGGGGGGGGGGGTGAAAAAAAACCTTGCGCTATTGTTGCTTCTACTGGCACGCCGGCGGGAGACTCAATCCAGCCGGTGACCTGCGGTGGATTGCAAGTCCAAAGCGCTCGGCAGACCTCGCCACGCCAACAGCCGCCGCCTCCTGCATTGACCGAGAAGGCCGCTCGGTTTGATAACGCGGTGGATTGCAAGTTTGCTTAACGAGCGGAGTCGCGGTCATCGTTTTCATCGCTCGAACTGCTGGGGCGCCAACATGTTGTGGCCGCAAGCTTTATTTTACAGACAGGTTTCGTGGTTTTCCTCCCAGCCGTGTACTCATCCGAACCCCGTTGACGAGGCTTCTTCTCGCCATTCGCAGATGCGCTCGAGGCCACGAGATGTCAGTTTCTCTCCTCCTCCTCCTCCCTCCACTAGCCCGTGTGTGGCCATCACATTCATCCATTCGTCACGCGCAAGCCGGCGAAGGAGCGTCACGCGCCTAACCTCGCCTGACCTCCTGCGACGGCGTTCCGCATCTACCGCTCCTTGCTGCCCTGCACCGGAGTCTCGAGTGATCTTTGTTTGATCCCCGGATCACGGGGGAGATGGAGGGCATGGGGGGAGGAGATGGGGGGCGGAGATGGGGGGGCATAGAGGTGGGAGATGGGCGGCGGAGATGGGGGGGAGGTAGATGGGGGGGCAGAGATGGGGGGGAAGGAGATGGGGGGCATGGGGGTTGAGGTGGAGATGGGGGGAGATGAAGGGAGATGGAGGGCATGGGGGGGAGGAGATGGGAGGAGTGGGGTGGGTAGATGGGGGGGGTGGGGGGGGGACCAGGGAGGCGGGGCCATTCCTTTTGAGGGGGGTCGCAGTCCTCCCTCCAACTGAAGTTGCGCCACGAGGTTTAGCTGTGGGGAGACACTTCGCGTGGCACCGCGTTCTGCTTCCGTATTCACGGCACGAACGCCGGCGACTCTATCTGACACGCTACAGAACTCTCAACTGCTGACTGATGAATTGGTTGTTATTATTATAACTCCTCTAATTGTCAAAGAGTCTCACCACAAATCACCCAGATAGCGCTCGTACGTGTCGCGGTGCTCAGAATCTGAGCAGGGCTTTTAAGCCTGGCGAGTGCTTGAACGGGAGAACAGCTTACGTAACCCAAGTGGTGTAATTATAATGATCATGATGATTATGATGATTATCATCATTCACGGGTGCTGCTACCGCGGGGTAATGTGGTGGGCAGCAGAGGGCAGAGCAGCAATCTCCATTGTCGTGACGTTTATTTTTCACTCACCCACCCACTCACCTCATCACTCACCCACCCACTCACCCAATCACTCACCCACCCACTCACCCAATCACTCACCCACCCACTCACCTAATCACTCACTCATCGCACTGTAGGTCACGCCGCTTCTCTTTCTCCCTCTTCCCTCGCACTCCTCCCATCGCCGTCTCTTTTCCCCAGCGCTTCATCATAACAATGGTAACTGGTATCAATTCAATAAAAGTGTTCACAACTCTCACGCGGGATATATGCCAATGTTGATCATCGTGCCGTGTGTTGCTAGCCGCTGGACGTTTTCGGTGCATTTGGCTTCGTGCAGATGACCCCTGGGGTTTAATGCCCCACGAAGCTCTTGGTCCGCCCTGACCCGCACCCACTGCACAAACTGTGCCAGTCGTAGATGTGGACACCTGTGGTGATGCGCACATGGAACATGAACACCTCTCTCCAGTAGTAGC